TTGCCACAAGCCACCTGGGAGACACACCAAACATGTGTGCAGAAGGTGCTCTGGTCAGATGAAACCAAAATTGAACTTTTTGGCCACAATGCAAAACGATATGTTTGGCGTAAAAGCAACACAGCTCATCACCCTGAACACACCATCCCCACTGTCAAACATGGTGGTGGCAGCATCATGGTTTGGGCCTGCTTTTCTTCAGCAGGGACAGGGAAGATGGCTAAAATTGATGGGAAGATTGATGGGGCCAAATACAGGACCATTCGGGAAGAAAACCTGTTGGAGTCTGCAAAAGACCTGAGACTGGGACAGAGATTTATCTTCCAACAGGACAATGATCCAAAACATAAAGCCAAATCTACAATGGAATGGTTCACAAATAGACGTATCCAGGTGTTAGAATGGCCAAGTCAAAGTCCAGACCTGAATCCAATCGAGAATCTGTGGAAAGAGCTGAAGACTGCTGTTCACAAACGCTCTCCATCCAACCTCACTGAGCTCGAGCTGTTTTGCAAGGAAGAATGGGCAAGAATTCCAGTCTCTCGATGTGCAAAACTGATAGAGACATACCCCAAGTGACTTGCAGCTGTAATTGCAGCAAAAGGTGGCGCTACAAAGTATTAGCGCAAGGGGGCCGAATAATATTGCACGCCCCACTTTTCAGTTTTTTATTTGTTAAAAAAGTTTAAATTATCCAATACATTTCGTTCCACTTCACGATTGTGTCCCACTTGTTGATTCTTGACAAAAAAATATGTTTTTATATCTTTATGTTTGAAGCCTGAAATGTGGCGAAATGTTGAAAGGTTCAAGGGGGCCGAATACTTTCGCAAGGCACTGTATATTCTGGCGATGCTGAAGAAGACATTCTCAGGTAATCTTATTTTGAATAAATATTCAAAATAACATTACCTTAGAAAGCCCTCTTCAGCGTCGCCAGAATATACATATTGATCCCTCCTATTCTAACACAAGTATAAGGGCAATGTATTTCTTCTAAGAAAGTAGTTCTGTCTTGATTTTGTAATTTGCAGTCATGGTTCTATTACTTGGACAAAGTATTAGCATAACCACATTTACTGTTATCCCTTGTGACTGGAAGTCTAATAGTTTTTTTTAGACAATTTACTTTTAGGGTTATTTCAGTGCAGCTCCCATGTGTGTTTAAATACTGCAACATGGCATGCAAGAAGAACATCTAGGATATTAGAGGATCCATATAGTGGGATGTGAGTGAGACAAAGTCAAAGGCAATGGGATCCTACCCGGACTATAACAAGGCCTCCTGGGTGAGCCTGGATATGGACGACCAGCTCAGTGGCCCTTCACCAAAAATGAAAGTCTGTGGAATGCATTCCACGAAGGAGACAAAATGACACTAGAGACAAAAGAATGGGAAGAACCATGGAATATTTTACATCCATAGCCTGTCACATCAAGGACTGTAATGGAGCTTGATGCCATATGGAATTGACTAGAATGAAGAAATTAGTCATGAGTATAAAAGTTATGAATAAGCCTTGATTTAATTCAACCCTTTTAAAAAGTGTGAAACTGAAAGAAGAACACTAAGTGCAACAAATGGGTCTCCACAATAATATTATACAGCTACAAAAATACTAGAGCCTTAGTAGGCTTTTCTTTTTTAGATTAAATCCAATGTGATTCTAAATACTGTAGTTTCTAATTGACTTATCTAACCACAGGGTTTATAACTGTTCCTGACTGGCATATAACGAGTCAGCAAAAAATAAAATCCATCTTTTACTTCATTTGGTTTTACTCTCTGCACTCTTCTCGATGAACTAAGACTTTTGATGATGAACAATCCAAACAACCCCACACACAGTTATCTCATAATAATAAAACAAATAATTCATGTTATTTGCCACCACTTTTCATGACACTCAAGTGCACTTGAAACACAACTAAATTAAAACGTGCCCACTATTGCATTCACATTTGAAATAAAATACTTTTAATAAAAGACTGTAAAGACCGTTTTCACCTTGTTGTTTCAGTGTACAATATGTCTGGGAAAAGACAAAGTATGAAAATCCCTGTGTGTGGTCTGTGCTTTCTGAAAGCACTAAAAGATGAAGTGTACCTGTGTGTTGCAGACAATGAGTCCAGTGCGTTTGGTTTCAGGTTTCTTCTTTTCTTTATTGTATTATTACGTCCCATCTGCTCAACGGGAACTGCTGTTATTCTGCACCTGCCAATACCATGCAAGTGTATAATGGTGTTTTGCCAAAACTAATCAAGAGGCTGCCAATTATATATTTTGCTGTTCTACTTTTGATGTGACTTTACTTTTTTGTGTTTGACGGAAGTCTGCTTCCATCTCCTGTCTTGTTCCAACTCACATATGGTCTCTGGTCTCTTCTGTTACAGAAAAAGCTGTTTCCCAGCATTGACATTGTAAGTCAGTAAGTACGTCATATTTATTGAGCTCCTGTCACAGACCAGAGTCACAGACCAGAGTCACAGACCAGAGTCACAGACCAGAGTCACAATTGTTGTGGGCATTTGTCCTTTCAGTCCACACATATTGTACATGTTTTCAGTGGTAGGGGAAACCCGAGTACCTGGAGGAAACCTATAGCAGACCCAGGGAGAACATGCAAACTTCACACAGCCTGAAGGTGGAATTGAACCCAGGAATTTCTTGCTGTGAAGCAGAAGTGATAACCACTGGGCCACAGTGCCGCAACTATGCCGCAATTATATAATCATAAAATGTGACTGAATTTATTATACATTATTGGGTTCAAATTGGGCTAGAGATGAAGTCAAAATCTCTTTTAAGTTTCAAATGCAAGACTATAGCCTATTATTCTCTGAAATATTCCTCTGTACTGAACTACTACTGTACTATTCAGCAAAGTACAGTGTCATTCATGTCTGCTGTAACTATGTATGACTTCATTGCCCCTGTCATAAACAAATAAAACATAAACAGTCAGTTGTAAAGAAGGGATAGTATGCATTATTTTTTGGCTGTACAAACAATAATTCAACGATTCACTTTGTTTAGAATGTGAAACAGTATGAAAAAACATGGCAAAAGGAGGAGTTGAAAATTACCGGCTTCGAACGAAGCCATAGAAATGGCCAAAACTATTTTGTGGGCAATAGTTTTGTTTTGTAGTCTTGTTTTGTTAAAAGCCAGAAAACGTATCTGAGCGTGATGTCAAATAGTTAGTATTACATTAAACCACAAGACAGTTCTAAGCTTTTAAGATAAGAAGAGGTTTTAAGATATAAGATGGAGGATGGATCTGAAAACAAATGCAGGTATGTTTTGATGGCAGAACAATGTTGTAACATGTTTAAAAGGTAAAAAAAAGAATTTTACTCTTCTAAATTCAGAAAAAAACATGAAAATAAATAAATAATCCACTCTTCCCCGTTTCACTCATTCCCCTCTGCCTTCTTCAGTAGAATAGTTGAGAATGGAATAATGCTGCCCTCTGCTTGTGACTAATAGGCACTGCTTTATAAAAGTGCAAAGAGTGAGAAAACTCACTCTTTGCACTTTTCCCCAGGTAATTAGGTCAATGGTATCATGTGGTGTAAATGTAGCCGCCACAAAAGTCAAACATGCTAAAGTTACACCTTTGACCTACACCTAAAATGAATATGGGTGACTCAGAAGAGGTTATGCTTTACACAATAAAAGAAAACTTGAACATTATATTTGTGAATGTGTCATACAGCTAAGGGTTAGTTATCACAAATTGCCTATTTCCTAATCCATACGTTTGGAAAAGAGAATGCCTTTTTTGTTCCTGGATTTTTGGTAGGTTTTAAAATGACACACTACCTGGAAAGAAATGTAATGCCTATAAACAAAAACAAGTTATTTGTTTTGAATACCAGAAGTTATCTCCTTATGTTAAAAGATGGTTACATCTGATGATAATGGAATCATTATTCAATATATACAGTATACAATTTACGGAATTTGATAGATTTGGATTTTTTTCTCAATAGCAAAATTTATAATTTTGTCTCTCACTTTACAGTGAAAAAAAATCACTCACTAAGTAATTGAGTCTGAAATAAATGACTAAATCCAATAGTTTACATGTTTGAATGTGTAGTACCACAAGAAGCTTCACATTATTCATTCCCTCCATACAGTTGGTGGCAACTGGCCACTGCTGGAGCCACAGCTGCCTGGGGCAGACTAAATAAATGATACATGAATGTATTCAACCTCAATGAGTTATTACTCTGCCTTTCTCCTGCAATTTACAGCAGCAAGTCTTTGAACTCTATGTTTTGCACAGCAGAAGATTGGATTTTATTTTCAAATGGCTCAAGCTCCATCACATTTGATGGAGAGTGTTTTTGAACAGCAGTTTTAGATTAAAACTACTCATAAGAGTTTGCATTTAAGGCAAAAAGATAAATTTTGGTCTCATTTGACTCAACCGCCACGTTATGGGAATGTCTCTGTTGCTAATATGAGTTTAAAAATACACACACACACACACACACATATAGATTTGGTCTCCTCTGAACACGGTTACTTCTTGCAAAAAAAGGCTTTCTATTTGCCACTTGTCCATAAGGATGTAACACATATTTTCTAGTATGTTCCCCATGTACAGATTCCCCCAGGAGAGCTGTGGATGTTGGGTTGTGTCTGCATTGTTCATTTATCCTTGTTTGGCCTGTTTGCAGTTGTGCCATAATCATTCTATTCCCATACAGTGTGCGAAGCTCGGGAAGTTGTTGTACAAAAATTCTTAAACTTCTCCCTGACCTCTGGTGGATTCCTTGGACTTTACGATGCTGTTTAGTGACCATTATCCTCAAACCTTCGAGGCCATCATAGATAAGCTGTAATGACAGTGAGATTGTATTACACTCATGTTTTAGATTTATTTCAACTCATTGGGCTGATGCTTCCCAACCTGCACAACATTGAAAATAAGTTTAAAGAATTAGCTCAGTACTTTCCCTCGAAGATGGAAAAGCATACAAAAGGTATGGATGGGACCAAGTACAGGTGTGATGAGGTCGGAAAGTAATACCTATTCTGCAAAAGGTCAACAGATGTTGACAACTGCTTCTGCTCATACTGTACTGTACTGTACTGTACTGTAAGTACAGTATAAAAGTAGAATAATCCTCACATGGGTCCTGTATCATGGGCATGTGAAGAGTGCTGTTTACAGAATACATTTATGGATTTATTCATGACAGATTTCAAAATCATAGCCCAAAATCACAACAGCAGAAATATCAAAAGACATTATTTTTTTGCCCCACTAGCAGATTGACTAACAATTGCAGTTATTATTTGGGATAAATTAATTGATGTCCACGAGAATAAAAGAAACAGCATCTATTGTCATTCTACGCCCCTTCTTGCTCCTTCAGAAAAGAAAAACTCATAAAATAAATAAATAACCTGTGGAAAAGAGAAACCTCTAGAGTCTAGAGAAAAGTGAAGGAGAGATCCCATGTATGGGCTAGATGAGTTTAGGACAGATGCAAATACATTTGATATTGAATATTACAATGCTCATGCAATATGTGCAGAAAAAACAGCGTTTTAACGGGAGGGAAAAATAAATTCTGAATCCTGGTGACTTGGCCCGGTGTTGAATGAGGGGTTGTTGAGGAATTGACAGGGTAAGAAATACAAGCAGTTACAAGTTAAAATGAGTGGAACATTTTAAGCAGAAGGGTTCAAGTATATTCAACATTCAAAAACTGTGCATCAATTTTCAACATTAAGATTACATGTGTCCCTCGATGTGCTTTCATTTGATGCTTTGTACAAGTGGACTCTACTGCCACCTGATGGTAATGTGTCTGTTGCTAATGTGAATGTGAATGAAAATGACAATAATACGTAGACACACACACACACACACGTCCTATAACATTGTAGTAGTATTGTATTTACTAGTTACTACACTATTACAATAACACTCCTATGGACATATTGACACATGCAGGCCATGTGCAAATGGAGTGGACAATACTTTGCATTAATTGCGATTACACTAATTATATCACGCTTGTGTTTGAAGGACATTGGTTAAAATGCTGTTTTAAATAAGGATGCTGTTTTTCACGCTCCTTTTTGTTCCTCACGATATAGTTACTGTATTGATCATCTATATTAGTTACACTACTGAATAATGTTACTGTAGTATAATACAAAAGTAACCAGTTCCTCTAAACACAGTGAAACGCACTCATTGCTGATTGCATGCATGAAGCGGTACCTCAGTCCATTCCTGCCTCCAGAGGATCCAGGCGCCATGTTTCCGCCAGTACCCGGCCATTATTTTATTTACTAAATGCCCATATCCCTCCGCAGGGTCAGAGAGTATTTTGAAGAAATTGCCGAAGGGTACCTCGTCGTATTTTTACACCAAATGTTATCGATACGTCGAAATATGCAACATACAAACAAAATATCTAAGATTGGTTGTCCTTGGTTTACTAAAAGCCTCGGTGTGTGGTACCTCAGTATAGGGAGCAGGATCTAGTTTTTCAGTCACATCTAGGGGGTGTGCTTCGGTGCCACTTATCATTAGATATGGCCACCGTTACTGACTATACCGAAGCGTCGTTTTCAGCTTAATTTAAGGACAAATCTACATCACTTTGCAACACATCTATTGCAGATAGTGGTGTGTTGTTTCGGCGTGGTTATGCTCTTGTTACGCGTGTCGGGAGACTGTTGTTCCTGCGTGGAAAGCTGGCAGAGAGAGTCTGTGAACTGGCCGCTTGGTCCCGCAGCTTGGCGCAGCTGAAGAAATTCGGACCAGTTGCCAGCCAAGCCATCACGCATCCCTGTCGCGGTGCATTCGCGGAGGATTTCTGTACAAAGTTTAATTTTTAAGCGATTTCATCATCTTGGATTCTAGCCTTGGTATATGTATGGGAAAATTACTGACTGGATACTTGGGTGGCTAACACCAACTAGCTATATAACACTAACTCGTGTGCGTCGACAGCTGTCATTGGAGAAAGGAAAGTGATCCTCCAAATGCCACCGAAGCGCCTTTCTCTTGGATTTATACATTTTGTCTTTGCATCAAATGGGAAAACTTCGGAGTGATTACACTGCTATATTGGAATATTCCGAGTATGCATTTTTAAGAAGTGCAGGGCTGCTCCACTGCTCCAAAGAGGCTAGCTAAGCTAGCTCTTTTTAGCCTGCTCGCTAACTAGCTGGGTGATAGAAGTGCGTCGTTTCATCTCCCAGTATTTGGGTATGAAGAGGATGAGTCTTTATTCATAGGGTCGAAAGGTAAGCTCAAACTATTATCTATCCATTTATGTTTTCTTGGTGTGATGAGGTAGACAACGGTACCTCCATTCTGGTGTTAGGGGGTAGTCACCGCCTTAGTTTTTAATGACTCAGAATTAACAAGAGTTTGCTAGTTAAACAAGTTAGCACGTGAGACTCACAGTTCCTCGAACCAAACTTTTATTTGAACCAAAACCTCAAAGTTGTTCAAATTAGTTAACTTTATATTTCTGTTTTGTAAAGAAACTGGGTTAGCAAAGTAAACACTGATAAACGTATCATTTCCACTTTGCATCGTCCCCCTATAATCCAGTCTCTTCGAAAGGAAGAAGCCTTTGTGGTAATTTGGCACCATATTATCGCAAAATATTAGAATGAGTTTCACTATCAAAGACTAAAGCTGTCATTGAAATTTCCCTTTTCTGCTTAAAACAGCAGTGGTTTAGGTGGGCATATATCCTCAGTCGATGATGCTGGGTTTGCCAACTACCAGATGTTAACCTGTTTGCTCTAAAGTCTAAACGATAACACTGAATCACTTGCAAAATTATGGCATATTATGTGATTGCGTGCCACCTACTTCAAGCAAAACCACGAACATCAAATATGAAACTTTAAAGTATATATTTCGAAGATGTTTTGATGTAGTAAAGGGGACAAGAGTTCAACACAACGGGCTAGCGATAGTTAGCAGAGCCTCGGCTTTGTGCCCGCCCGGGTTGACTTGTCTTAACAAAAGCTAACGCTAGCATCTTTTATACTGAACCAATTGTGGATATGCTTAACAAGGTCCCTCACCCCATATACACCAACATTAAAGCTCCTGGTAATAACCAGTTAAATAAACAACCACTTTATGTTCTCGATGATAGATTTAAGTGCCAGAGATACTTAAAATATCAAAAGTTTGAAGCGGTATAGCCAAAACGATAAGACAACAACTCGTCTTTAAATCCGCAGCCGTTTTCAGTTATGTCATACAACATGTTATAAACATAAAAGATGCATAAAACTTGCGGTATTAATAACCACAGCCACTGAAGCTCATATCTGTGTTGGAAAAACCAAGATGGCTGTGGCACTGTACTACAAACCCAGGGGTCTCCAAACTTTTCAGCCTGGGACCCCCACGAGACTATGCAAATAATTTTGAAACACAAATGTAAGACTTAAATTGGCATGGTAAATATTGTAGGAATTTAAAAATTGTACATTCCTATTAGTCTACTGACCCCTCCACATGGTTCATACATATTCATCAAACATTTTCTGATTGATGATATAATATTTTTCATTACATTTACTTCATTGTAATGCATTTAAAGAACCCAAGCGCTACGATAAATGTGTTTTGGGAAGTCCGAGCTCACAGGTCTACTCTTTTCATGAGAGCAGCAACTCTGTTCAACTCTAATGGTTTTGAAATTGTGCCTTTTTCCTGTGTTTCAGAATGCCATCAGAGGAAAACCCTGTGGAGCCCTCTGACCAGGGACCCTCACCGCCCTCCAGCAGTGCAGGGGCCACATCCACAGAAAGTCCTGCCCACGCTGACAAGCGGCCACGGGGCAGGCCGCGCAAGGATGCTACCATCCTTGCTCAGGCAACATCGTCATCCTCATCCAAGAGTAGAAAAAAGTAGGTTCCTCTTTTTGAAAATACTGGGGAAACACTTGTCTCATGCAGGTAGGCTTGAACTCCTTGTTAAAGTGGTGGTAGTTCTATGAGCGTGGCCCCTGGGTATAATTACTTCATAAATATTAAACTTTAGTAAATGGGAGATGACATGTTTTGAGTTTCTAATAGAAAATAGGAATTGGCTGGGCCTCCACTTAGTATAATAATGTTAGAATTATTAGAATTAGAATAATGTGAATACTTATTACACTAAGAATAATAAAATACATTTGAAATTTATGTAAACAAAATTATGTATTCTGTAACCTATTTGTTTTCAATGGAATTCAGATGTAAACAATGGGGGAATCTTTTAAATGTTCATTTAAAATTGTATTAACTTCCCTTTATTTTAAAACTACACCCTAAATGTCTTTAGTTGCAGGAATTTTACTTTATGCCCTCTTGCAGTGCACTGGTTGATGTACTCATAAAACTGTTTTTTTGTGCTATCCTTGGGTCAAATTGACCTGCCACAGTGATTAAATAATACATTAAATACACATTTTTATATATATATATATATTATTGTTTTTCTATCTTGACCAGCCCTGGTTTATTTAGACCCTATTTTAGGGTATTTTTCTTCTACTTTTAATTACGGTGGTGGGTCATTTGGACCCGAGGGTAACACAAGGCTTAACTGGTGGGGAGATAACAAGGCTGGGCAGGTAATGTGTCCAGTCAGTTGCTACCAGAGCTAGACTTTGGAGATCCTCTCACCATAGTCCGTATATAGATGAAAATTTCTAACCCACTATCCCAATGAAGCCCAATAGGGAAGTGCTCATATACAAAGTTTTGTTCCTACTCAATCTGGTTCCTATTGACTTACATTGAAAAGTGAACTCTTCTAGCTTAGTAACCGTTTGTGTTTCCATTTTGGGCTTAACAGATCTGTTTTTTAGAGCTCTCTGATTCTGGTGTTAAATATTTATACTGTTTTTTTATCCAGTGAGCCATAAGCATTGACAATCATATGCCTTAATTCATGGGGCAAGCATGACTGCAACACTTTAGCTGGCATCTGTCCCTGTTAATGTGAAAAGCTAATCTCATCTGTAAAAAGGCAATATAAGGAAATTGGCTTCAGCTTTCCTTTGTTCAAATCGTCTTCTTCCACAATTATGATGGTTGACGCCGGCACTTACACATTGGGTGGAAACGCCTCTTTAGTTTTCTCAAAAATAAATGTCTATACACATTAGGGGTGTGACAATTCTTTCTCCCGCGATTCGATTATTGATATGCATTTGCCAAGTATATCAATTTTTAAAAGAAAAAAAATTAGTATCAATACTCAATATATGGCTACATTACGCATCTTCATTCCATTTATCATGAAATAAAGTGTATTTTTTCACTTAACATTTTTTCTTTATTCATGCCATAAATTGGCATATGGTATATTTCTGACCAATATATAGATAATCGTCATATCGTGATAAAATCGTTATCGGGATATTATCGTTATCGTGATATTATCGTTATCGTGAGCTTTGTATCGTATCGTGAGGTACCCTTAGGTTCCCACCCCTAATACACACTAACATACATAGACATACACAGATTTTTACGTAGCAAGCTCAATCAATGGTTCTTTTCAACACAAAATAGATCATTTAACTAAAAAAAATAAAATTCAGTCAGTACTTTATCAGCTGATAATTGTCTAAAAATCTTATCAACGTAATTGGTAAAACCTTTTTTGAACTAATTTATATTATTACTATAAGTATTTTTGTATGTGTCATTTTCACACGTTAATAAACTGGGCTACACTGGGAACACTGGGATTTTGTGAAGGCTGCAAGTAGTTTAATCATATTTGATACTGCAGTCATGTTTTACTTTTTACGTTTATGTTTTTTGCAAGGTTACAGCTATAGGAACAACATTGGCATTGTAACAAGCAGGAGACCTTTCTTGAACAAGTACAAAATAGTTTTTCAGTTTAATTTAAACAAAATAGAATAAAGGGTTAATTAAGTTACTTTGTGGGCTTGTAAGTTTGTAATATCTTTTATTGAAGCTACCACAATATAAACTAAGTTTTTAACATATGAATGAATAAACATCTGCTGTGCACAATGTAAAATAATACAAATAACCATAAGAAATCAAAATAAATAGTCTTTGCAGTTCTTTTTGTTTGTAATTGTTTTTTGGTTGACATTTGATCAAGATTTTCTTAGAATGAATGCTTAAGCTAATAATTTGTCAAATAAACTCCTAAATGTTCCATATCAATATACCTAAGAACTTTATGAAAGAGATGAAAATTGCAATTTTAAATTTTCAACACAGATTATTTTAAGTATTGTATGTATGTATGTATGTATGTGTGCATTTTAAAGATAAACTTTCAGTCGTAAAAAGAACCAGGAAAGAGGTACAGTTCCATTCCTTAAGCTTCGAGTAGAGCTACCTCTGGCACCCATGGATCTATAATAATAAATGGATAGGGTATTACTAGCTTACAGCTATCCCACCCATGGGCACAGGGGGCGCCCGTGGTACTGCAAACTAAATTCACGTGGGCTACCCAGAAAAAAGTCCCATAGAATTTAATGTAAACTAAAGCAGCTCGACCTCAGCTGACAGAGAACCTACAGCTTTTAGAAATCTTGGATTTTGTGGGGGTTTTAGTGTCCCTTGTCATCCTGAACTTTTTTTCCTCTTAAATCCTTCGGTTTTCTTTAAATCCACACTTTACCGCCACAAACTCTGCTCCTTTCCTTCCCGCTCTGACTCCGCTCTGCTGCTGCTCCGATCAGCAGCTCTGATTGGTCAAAGCGCAGCCGAGACCCTCTATTTGGCGCAACGCTTCATGGGAGCTCGTCCACTGTGCAGAACAGGGAGGACCAGACGATGCCCAAATATAGGCGAGTTCTGCTAATCTCCCGGTCTCCGTGAAGTCCCATGCGCTACTGAGGACAAGCCTTTCATTTGAATAGGGCGCCATCTTGGATCACCGGGGCTTTCTGGCACCATAATAGGGCTGCAACGATTTGTTAACGTCATCAACTAAGCCGAATAATACATCGTGTTGACGGTTATTATTGTCGATGCATCGGCCCTTTAAATCTTTTTTGGGAGGAACGCGCCCATACAACCATCAATTATGGTAATATTTTATCAATACAGCACAGTTTCGTCCCAGAGACAAGATTCAGATTCAGATTAATTTATTTGCCATTTGCAGTAAAACCACATTGGAAAAACTGTGCAATACTACTCCAGTGTGGACCAGACAGAGAGGACGGCACACACCAGAGCTCTTGCCACGGCGCCATCTTTACGGCGCCATGCGACAAACAGTAGAATAAACAGCACAGAGCAGTAACATACATTTCACAAGACAGTTTGGATAAACACAGTATGTTTTTCAAAATGCATTTGAATGTGTTAAATGCAATTTAATTCTCCAATTTGCGCTGTGTTTAACAACCACACATGCATTCGAAGTCCAACAAAGGGAAAAAACACGGCCAAACACTCACCAGCGCGGTTCAACTTGCTTAATTCTGGGAGGCACTCTGATCTGGGTCCAGGGAAGAAAGTCTAAATATCTTTGGCCTCATCATCACCTGTGCGCTGAAATTTGGGTCCTGGTTATTCCGCAGTCCTGTCCCACGTGCCCGCTTCCCTGTGTTTTGTCCTGCTTGCTCTCCCACTTCCGCACAGTCTGATCTTTAGGTAAAAAAGCTTTTCTCCCTGACAGACTTGGGTTTGGCTCTCTGTCCCTCCACACTCTCCCACTCTTCCTCCTATGAGCCCGGCCGGAAGCAGGGCTGTTGTCCTGAGTCTTTGTGGCCTCTGGATTCGTCATACATCAGTCTTTTTCGTCTTCTAATGTAAACCTACACATTTTATATGAATTACTTGATCGAAAAAAATTACTGACCTGTCAAGTACTAAAATAATCAATATTGACATCCCTCCACCGTATGCTCTCCCAAATACTTTTATTTTTCTTTAATACGTAAGCTGTGCATCAGTTTATAAACATGTAGCAAACATATCGGCGTCTATAATGCCATGTTTATGGTGAAATGTACTTGTTTTTCTATTGGCTTTGAGTACATAGTGTGCTGATGCCTCCTCACTCCTCTCTGCTCCGGAGATAATAGTTCTGCTTTCAAACACTGAATTCTGAAGTTACAGATATCACTGCATTTAGCTGTTTGTCTGTTGTAAAGCTCAGTCTGCTTCCTGAAGTGGGGCGTGGCCTTAGACAGAGGGGTAAAGTAGCAAAATATTCAATTAGGATCACCACCGAAATCACTTAATCACTCGCCCTATCTGGGGCAGTGGAATATATATCTATTTTATGTTAACAATCTAGTATTTCCTGATATACCATAACATAATCAAAACCCTAAAACATACGCTGGTATTTATTACACACAGTTGACACAGTTTTCACTTTACAGAACATGCATAATGAATGATGGTAAGAAGGTAGCCCAATTCTCAAGTCATGCCCAGAATGGTTGCCTGATAAATCCTATCAGATCTACTGTCTGGTCTGGTTTTAGCTCTGCTTCCAATTATTCTGGTGGTTACTACATGTTAATTCCCTGATTTTTGGTATCCATTCATCATTCTATTGCTTATGACAATGTAAAATTACATGATGAATGGATCTTCTATTCATTTACTATACACACTCGTAAAGTAAACAAGACTTTAATTAGTTTTGTAAACAATGATTATTATGATAATAGTTTTAAGCAAGCATTTATTTCATTTTATCATTTTGTTTGTTTGAGTCACAGATTTAAATTGTATCTGCGTTCTAAACAAAGTTGAAGTAAAGCCACTGGAAGAAATGCTAATGTCCTGCTCTTATTAAAGAATACATTCTATTGTTTTATTAAATTTACTTCCCTTATTGTGTAGGGCTCGTGACTAACATAGTTCTGGTGTCCCGGGGATGGTGTCGGAACGACATGGCCCCTCCCCTCAGTATCTGTTTATCACAGTGTGAAAGACCTGGTAGCTTCAGATGCAAAGCAATTTATCATTGCAACCATGTTAATAAAAGCAAAGGAAGGTTTCTCACCCATCATCTGTACTTCTTAGCAAGTTTTCCCTTGCTAAGAAGTACAGATGATGGGTGAGAAACCTTCCTTTGCTTTGACTAATCCCTGTACGACTGAGGGCTTACACAAACTTAACCATGTTAATAGTTTCATGTTGCTTACCAAGTGTCAATGGTGAACCCCATCTCTTTAATGCTGTAGAATGTGTTCATCTGACTGGCTTCTGTATGTGCTGTGTCCACTTCCTCCTCTACCCGCACTCAGAGCCACATCTACTCTCCTCCATATCAGGCTTTTGCTCCAGTGGCTTCTGGTGCATGAGTCTGAGAGACTTTGTTTTGAGGAGAATCTCTTTCCCGGTTTTTATTTCACATTTGGCCTTTTGATTCACCCAATATTTGTTGACAACAAGGCATATTTTGGGCTGTATGGATGTCAGAAGTCGCTCTGGTAAACTTGGTTGCTGGAATTTGCCCACACCTGCTAGTCAGTCCATCTCTCAGTGATCCATGATGGGATTTTGTGGCTGCCCTCGCCTAGCTGGAACTACTTACCACAGCATTATTTTCACCTTTTTTCTTTTTTTTTTTTCTTTCCTGCTATCCCCATGGTGGAACAGTGGGGGATAAGTTGTCCTGAGTATGTGGCTGTTAGCATAGAATATTTGTCAGAAAGCAGGTCTTAATGTGTGTTTTAAATGCTGTAGAAGAAACAAAATCCTACATGCACATTCTACTGGGTCAAACAGAAAATGTTAGTATTAATGTTGTACGTCTATTCATTTGTAAATCTAAAAAATAATCTTTGGGAGGAACCAAAGCCTCTTTTTTACATATCTCCAAATTGGATGTAATGCTTTCTTAATAAATGTAAAGTTGCATAAAATGTTTACCAAAATGTAATGGTGAGATGCTTTAAGGTCTCTAATGACTTCCAACTTTGTAGATGTTATTCTGAAAAGGAAGTAGTTTAAAAGGTGGGGTTTGTTTGGCCATGGTCCAATTCAGATTTTCCTCCACTGGCATGAATTGTAACCCCACCTTTCTTTCTATATACATTTCCTCCCTCGGTTCCAACTTCTGCATCTTTCTAAGCCCCCAGAGACGGGCTGTTCTCATTTAGTCAGTGTGTAGCCTTTCAAGAGGCTGATGCTGCAATAAATATGCATTATTTTAAAGGCACTTGGAGTGTAAAGTAACTTTTTATCGTGTATTTTGCCATAAATTATACAAACTAACCCAGTGTGTCTGTTTCAAATGAACAAGCTTTTGTTTTGCATCCAAAAAAAGGATCAATCTGGCTGGTGATCTTTTCCTCTGACCACCACCAATCAAAACTTGAGCCATTGGTTTTTTTGTTCATATTCCCAGGGGGCGCACCAGAGCCAGGGTATCTGTGGATGAGGAGGATAGCCTGGACGGGAGTGAGATCACGGACCCCATAGGCCCTAAGGACACAGGTACACTCTTGATTTATTTTTATTTTTATGCATGACGTTTTAAATATGACAAGGGGCGTTCACAAGGAAGAAAAGACCGTCTCTTTCTGGAGTAGAAGGATGAGTGCTTTCCCTTGTCAACAGATTCTTCAATGCAGGGACTAAAATTGAAATGGTTTAGCATGAGATGTGAAGCTATAGTTTGTTTTACTCTTTAGATTGGTTTTGAGTTGAGTATGAAAGGCTCATTGCTTATGCCCTTTAAAAGCTTTTTACTATATTGTCAATCTTGTACATCACATATTTCATACTTGCGTTGCTGTGTTAATTAAGTTCATATCTATATTGATTTATTTTTAATATTTTTTTGGAGCATATGAGCATAAATGTCATCATCTCAATTAGAGCTGGGCCATATGGCTGAAAACTATATCATGATATAAGTCACTCATATCGGTCGATAATGATATATATTGATTATTATTATTTTTTTTTTTACCTAAATAAATAAATTTGTTGTGTGGGCCAACAAACCTTAGCAGCCTTGTTTACAGTCACGGGGGAATGAGGCTGGAGGAATATGTTCACACTGTGTCCCCCGTTGTTAGTCCTGGTTTAGCTGTTTTCTAGGGTCTTGTGTCCCCGTGACCGCTCCGTGCGGCTCTCTGTATGCCGCACATGCTTCCCGAGGAAAAAGTTAATCTCTTGCTTTCGCCAAATACATCGGGTCTGTCCACTGCCTCTGCTGCCGCACATGTTATTGTTATTATTGACAAGGCATTGAAACACGAGCTATAGATCCATGGACGCTACGCATGGTGCGGTTGTTGGTGTTTTTGCATTTCCCAGAAAGTTTTGCGGTTCCTGCTCGGCTGTGATTGGTCTAGAAGCCTCTGCCTACATCCCCCAGAATGCCGCGCGCTTCTGACTCTGCTGTACTTCCTGTCTTTTCTTCCTGTTTTTCCAACGGAGTGAAGTTAAACTATCGAAGTTCTATCGGCCCCATTTTCAATCGCTATCGAACACGTGTCTATCGCAATATATATCGTTATCGTTTTATCGCCCAGCCCTAATCTCAATCACAATCTACTTTGTGTCATACATACATCATGCAAAAACAACAATCTACTTTGGACATCTTTGCCAGATGCGTTGAAAGGCACACGGAGGCAAACAGTTTAATTCTTGATTAGATGCACTGTCCTTTACTTGTTTAACTACTAAGTAAATGTGTTCAGCAAGACTGTGTGTATGTATGAAAATACAATAACGGGATAAAGTATTACAATTGTTTATTGCAACAATGGAACTTACAAATGGGTGGTTTTATGGCGCCCTCTCTAGGTCACACACTAAATGTCAAGGAAATGCTAAAAGTATCAAATAAACATTATCCAGCTCTAAAATTGAAATTTTAAATAAGTAACAATCTTGACTATTTTATGCAAGAATCTGCTAGACCTATTTTGAAATTGACACACCAAATTATACCGCAATATGAATTTTAGGCCATATCGCCCACCCCAAATTTCTTGAGTGTGGGGACTATTTAACTTTGACTATTTAATAGTTTGCGTTCCTATGTTCATGAATGAATACACATTTATTGTAATTATAATTACGCTTGTGTCCTTTTACAGTCTCATAGCCGTTTATTTCTATTTTTTGATTGTTTATTTTTGTTTACGGTTCTTGTTTGTTAGTTTAATGGTCAGCAGCTAGGATAATTTCCAAAATGAGTTGTTGATAATATTTGACATAATTACATACAAAGTATTCAACAATCCAAAACATACTTCTATAGAATCTACATCTAATAATTGTAATTTAAATTGAAGTCCTGGTCTTCCTTTCAGAAGTTCAAGTCCAGCCACCAGAGATTGTGGAGGTGGTACCCCCTGAGGAAGTGGACGAAGGCCCTCCAGCTGAGGTTTTACCTGATGCATTTGTCCCAGCAAATACAAGCAGGTAACAAAGTTGTAAAAGTCAGCAACATTACATTATTAAAGAATTCCCACTAATCAGTCCTGACCATACATAAATAATATCAGGACAATGCTTGTTTACATTAGTCACATCATAACATTCGTATTCCACCCATTTCCTCAGGTAAGTCCAGTTTTAACCTCAAGATTTGAGGAAATGGGTTGAGTCATCTGTGCTCCTGCTCAGTTTGGAACTGTTGGAAGTAAAACCTGCAGCCACATGGCCCTTTCTGGAACCGGTTTGAGACCACTGGCTTAAGATAAATGGAACAGAATCCATGAAAGCCAAAGGCTTTAATTTAGACATATTGGCCAAAGATTGATCAAATTAAGTTCCTAATGCTGTTGTACATGGCGAGGCTGTAGTATTGGCACACATCACACAAGCCACATAAAAAAAAAAAAAATCTAATACTAATCTAATCTTTAAATACACACACTCGCACACATGTGCATGCCCACACCCAGGACACAAAATTAAACACACATGGTCGGTGAATACTACTTAAAGTGACTTTAAGTTTGTCCTCCACACTGTGCCACAAGTGTTTCCCAAGTATTGTTCATGCTTGCAGTGGACAACTCAAACTGCCAATGAACCATCAAAAGCAAAGCTATGAAACATTTTCCAGATATATGTCCAGATTTAGTTTGTCAAAGTTCCCAATAAGTTGTAGTCAATATCGATTGCTTGTAATCGAAACCTTCCAACAGGATATCACAACATTTGTATGAATAAGAAAGCATTCAGTTTGTGAAACCCAGTATATAGTTATATTGTACCATTTCAACATCCTTGAACTTTTGTGCTTTTTTCAGTGAGCGCCTCTGTGCCTTCTGTTACTGTGGTGCGCGTAGCCTCCTGGGTCAGGGGGAACTCCGCGGATTTAGCGTCCCCTCTCTGCACGATGAGACCAGTGTCGGTGAGAAAACTGTGGCCAGAGAAATTGCCTTGGATCGAAGGGAACAGCTTAAGTAAGTTGACAAAACCCGAGGGGTGGCTAAGTGAGTCTAATGAGTTCTTTAACATAACTGAAAAGATGCCGTATTTCACCTTGTCACCGTGCTCACCATAACAAACATCTTTATTCTGAACCATGCCCTTCAGCTCCCCCTATTCTTAGTCTTATATCTTGCATATTTATTCTGCATATTGTGGTTCTACCTAACGAAATCTGTTTTGTTATAGTGGACCGGACAGCCTTGAAGCAGAACCTGAGAGAGCCAACCGATTTTGGGATGAACTTTCTCATGTTGGACTTCCTCAAAATCTCAATGTTCATTCTCTTTTTGAGTCAGGCAAGTTTGATAGACTTTTAATATATTTAATAATATTGATATATATTTCTTTAACTTTCTTTATTTCCCCTTTTTAAATTCAGGCAAGTGCTGGGCGCATCATAGTTGTGCCTTGTGGTCCGAAGGCATATGTGGTAGCGAGGGACAATCTCTGCTTAACGTGGATAGAGCCATTGACTCAGGGAGCACAAAGGTAAGCTGGAGGTGCATTTGTGGTCTAATGGCTGTTAATACCATCTTAATGTGTTGGGCCAATAGGGAGGTGTGCAGTGGTGAGCACAGCAAAGCTGATAGATCAGACTGGCTGGTAAAGGTCGTTCTGGCAGCAAAGCTCTCTCAGCTGTGAAATAGAAAGGTCACGCCACTCAGCAGACCGGGTTCTTGTGGCAGTTTGGATCCTTGTGTTGGTCCTTGTGCAGCGTTTTCTTCTGTTTACAGGCCATTAGTGCTGTAGTGTATCAGCACAACGTCTACTTGCTCTTCACAAAGTCTATGGGCGCATTGATATTCTACTAGTAAAGAAATAAGAGAAGGATTATAATTTGATTCGCTCATGTTTGTTTAGGCAACTTTATACTTGGTTGGCTGAGTGGATAGCACTCTCGCTTCTCAGCAAGAAGGTCCTGGGTTCGAATCCCTAAAAAACATGTACAATAGGTCTGGCATGTGCCTCCTGTACTGGCGACCCCGCTCCCATCTCTGTTTGGAGTGAAAGGACAAAGGCCCATGATTGTAAACTGCTTTGTGACTCTGGTCTGTGAAAGGCGGAATAAAAATAAAGGTTACTTACTTACTTAAATAAAGATAGTTGCTGGTACATTTTACATGTTTTCATTATCTTTACAGCACTGTGCATACTGCAAGCGCCTTGGAGCATCCATCAAGTGCTGTGCCGAAGGATGTGCTCAACTTTACCATTACCCCTGTGCAGGGGCTGCCGGAACATTTCAGGATATTACAAGTCTCTCTCTTCTCTGCCCAGAACACCTTGATTTGGCCATAGAGAAGTGTAAGTGTCCATTGTTATTGTTAAATGTAAATCAAAACAAAATATCTTTCTTTGTTTAAAAGTATTATTGATGATCGTAATAGTTATTGTTTCCTGACATTTTCCCGTGTTCTTTTTTTCCCTCCAGTTGTGGATGATGTAAATTGCGTATTGTGCGATAGCTCCGGGGATCTTCAAGACCAGCTTTTCTGCACCAGTTGCGGTCTCCATTATCATGGGATGTGCCTGGATATGGTGGTGACCCCTTTGAGGAGAGCAGGGTGGCAGTGCCCTGAGTGCAAAGTGTGCCAGACATGCAAGTGAGTAATTGCCCATCCCCTGTTAACTTAACCACTCAACCACCACTAAATGACCAATTTATGACCAATGGTGACCAAGTTACCACCAAGTATGGAATTAATCAATAATGACCCAGTATAGTGCCAGGAAAGGCTTTGACAAGCTGGCAAAGCACATTAGAAGTCTATTAAGGTGAGGTCAGTAACTTCAGATGCATATCGTTATTATGAAAATCTGCATTTTCCATGTCGGTCAGATGATTTATTAGTGACACTTCCCTCCGTGTGCTCCGGTCCGGGCATACACAGCAGGGACAATGGAGATGGCAAGGGAAAGGTGTATACACTTTTATCATTTATGCTGAGCTATTTGGATCCGGTGGGAAAATTAAGAACAGTGGAAATAGTATATCAATAGTATACAGGAACTGTTGTGGCATTAGTTTTTATTTTAAACTTGTTTTTATCAGTTTCTTTACAGAAAGGTATAACTTATTTATTTATGGTATTTTTTGTAGGAATCCTGGAGAGGACACAAAAATGTTGGTGTGTGACATGTGTGACAAAGGATACCACACCTTTTGTCTACAACCTGCAATTGACTCTATTCCGACTAATGGTTGGAGGTGTAAGGTAATTATTGTGATATAATTTTACCAATGGTTTCACCTTGGTGTAAACCACAATACACAATTCCCCCTATAAGCTTGTATGGGGGAAGTAAGTTAGTTTGCAGAATTCATCCTCTTTTGTTATAACTGATGGAAAAATTTTGTTAAATGTTTTTTAAATATATGTCTTTCATTTTTAGAATTGCAGAGTATGTGTCCAGTGTGGGACGCGGGCAATTGGTCAGTGGCATCATACCAGCCTCATGTGTGAGGTCTGCGCCCAGAACCAGGACCCCGCTCTCTGCTGTTCTGTGTGCGCCAGCACTCTAGACCCTGAACGCCACAAAGATGCGCTATCCTGTCACATATGTAAACGGTAAGCATTTCCAGAATACGGGTGACCCCTTATCTCTTTAAAGTTGTAATTTGCATAAAATATTTCTTAAGTATTACATAAACTAGTGCCTAAAGCCCTTTACAAACAACGCCCCGGGGCACAGAGTATAAATGTTGCGGCTCTTCCCCCACTCTGTCCTGTAGAAATACTTCAGGACGTACAGGACCTTTTTAGAAGTACAGGACCTTTTATGTAAATATGGGAAACATGAACAACAAACGGGGTTTGCGCTCACTTAGACGGTAACAATGCCTCACAACGGCACATGGGTTTAAGAAATGTCCAGGTAGAACATTGAATGCATTGCATGTTATTTAATTACTCTCAATCGCTTGCAGTTGTTATAGTTGCCTCTTAATTTGCACATAATACACAATATTTGTGACCTAATATTGCCCAAGGGTATTGGAGTAATAAGTGTTTTATGTTGTCATTATGCGTAAATATAACCGTATATGCACCTGGTGACTGGAAAAATTAAATGTAAATTTGATGTCTTAAAATGACATTATCTATTTTGCAAAAATTGATATTGTATCGTACTGTGGGATTCGGACATTGTTACATCCCTGTCTGTAAGGGGCTATAGTTATAAGTCAGATCGGTTGAGTGACCTCCTTCACTCAAATATTTTGCATGGTTGTAGCTCGTAGCGTGGTGATTTGCAAACTATTCCTATTTTTCCAGAAACCAACTCATCTTGTCATTTGTTGTTTATTAAAGTCATGTTCTCATTGATGCTTTCAGATGGGTACATATGGAGTGTGAGCATCAGAACTCAGGCCAAGCAGAAATCTACTCCAGAGAAGACTACGTTTGTTCCAATTGCAGGCCTCCTGCTGCAGAGCGGGTGACCCAAGCAGAGGACATGAAGCTGGGCCCGGAGCTCAGCCCACAGCCATCCCCCATGCACACAGACTCTGAGTCGGATCCACAGCTGGCCCCAAAGCACACGGACCTACAGCCCTTTTCTCACACCCCTCCCGAAATGCACAATGACCCCCCTGAGGAACTAGTCCCAAAGCCTGCACAGGGTGCACTCTCAGAGAAGCCGTTCATTCCATCCTTTACCCCTGGTAGGTCCCTACTCAACTCAACACATACACTCATGGAAGAGATACCACACTTCTTTTTTGAATAGACTGACATTTTTATTTGTAGCAATCACGGTACACATTTCTGTAACTTGATTTTCATTTTAAAAATTGGTGATGGCTATACAATTACCAAATTCTGATTAAAATGTTAAATTATTTAATATATGATTTATATAATAAAGACAAAGTATACAGTGTTCTTGCAGAACCATATATTATATTTTACATAGCGTTTTGCTTCTCATATCGTGATTTGTTTTTTTTTTGGCTCTCAGCCCTACTCCACCGTGGCCTTCTCTGTGATCCGGCATTGCCTATCTGCCGTATTTGTGCCCTTCTTGTTATAAACAAATCCCCTTGGTTGTACCCTTCCCCGTTGGGAGACACAACTTTACAAAGTCACCCAGCGGCCTCTGCTCGAAACCATGTTCACAACTTGTGAAAAGGCTTTTCTCAGTTGTACGCTCTCTGGTACTCTGGTCAGAAGTAGCTGCCTGAATTCAGCACTGGTGGTTTTCCTGTTGTGAGGAGATGGACCAGCATCAGTGTGTTTACTAGGGGTGGGAACCGAAGGGTACCTCACGATACGACACGATACGCGATACAAAGCTCACGATAACGATTATATCACGATATGACAATTATCGATATTTTGATCAGCAATATACCATATGCCAATATATGGCATACATAAAATAGAAAAATGTTAAGTGAAAAAATATACTTTATTTCATGATAAATGGAATGGAGATGTGTAATGTAGCCATATATTAAGTATTAATACTAATTGTTTAAAAAAGAAATTAAAATAAAGTATTATTATTATTTTTTAATCGATGCTTGGCAAATGCATATCAATAATCGATCGCGATATATCGAAAAATCTATATATCGTTACACTCCTAGTGTTTACTCATTTATGCTGAATATTTGAGCTATTTCACAAAGCATTGCTACTTTTTAGGAGTTTTCTGTTTGGATATTTGTTTGGTATTGGAAAACTGATCTAATGTATTTTTTTGTTGTTGTAAATACAGATTATAAAAGTAAATTAACACTACTCAATGTTAGAAACCGGCAAGCGCACTTGTGTTTTGTTGTGGATAAAAGGAGTAACAAATGTTTTAAAAAGCATTTCGCTTTTCTCAGTTGCTTCGTCTATTCTGTCTGATCAAATGGATTCAAATATAGCCCCTGAAATGGGAAGCTCAGAGCAGAGATCCAGACTTTTCTGTATTGTGTATTGTATTAATAAATCATATGGGTCTGGCTGGTCAGGCTAAAAAAAAAGGGCCACAAAGATACAGTAGTTTCTGGCTTCACGCAACAAGGAAAACTTAGTTTGATCATTATGATAGCGGTTTGTTCGTTCCCGTCCTGTGTTACTTAAAGGAGTGCTTCACAACAATTTGCAAACGACTACACATTCATTTAAGGCTCTTTTGTAGAAAAATCTTAACATTTAATTAATTAGATTCCATTTTTTATCTTAAGCGCAGAGTTCCTTGTGAATGGGAATGTGTGTTGAGCTTTGGTCAATAGTTAAAGACTGGACATGGTTTTGGGCCTGTCTCCTAATTGACTTTCTGGCATCAACACCGGATGAGCACCTGCAAGCTGCACACTCATGAGCCCAGAGCACAAGACCCTGGGATGTGGGTTGTCATGGTTACGGGCTTCCCTGGCAGAGATGCTGAGCAGGTGCATGCGTGTGTCAGGAGCAGGGTGACATGGGAACTTGTGGATGGAAATGGGGGGAGCCTTGTTAAGACTAGGGGTTCTGTACTGTCAGAATATTGGCCCAGTGTGTGCATGACCTATTCCAGGAATGACTAGATCTATTCAGTACTAGCCACAAACTGATGTCCTTCATCCCAATGAAATGGAGTCAAATAGGAACATTTGCTATTGAAAAAAAGGATTAGGGTTGACCTGTTCAACTTGCGGCCAAACAATCTGATAGACTAGGACCATTTTGACATTGGAATATCATTTATTTATAATGAATAATCCTGAAGTAAGGTTCCATAGTAGGGATGTAAATTGGCGACCGTTTAACCGGTGGTTGACCGTCACAGCGTTAACCGGTCAAAGCTGTCGGTTAAAAAAGAGAAAAAGGGGAGAGGGGAGGTCTCTTAATAACGCTATTTTAAGCCCTATTTGCACGGTGTGACGAGCGGGTCCGTATCTAGCTGTGTGCGCCCATGTATTATAAACTCCGGGACGACTCTCACGCCGCACGCGCCACATATGCACACACACGCGCGCACACACACACACACACACACACTTTCCCCCTCTCCATACGTAACATCCACACGCATCATCTCTCCCCTCTGTTACCGTCAAAGTTGCACACTGGCGCGGGTCAGAACTACATTGGAGCTTACATTTACACACACACACACATATACATACACACACACATACACACACACATACCGGTCTGTCGCGCTCCTCTGTGTCACGGAGCCCAAAGGATTCGCGCAAATACGCGGCTCCAGTCAAACCACATGGAACATGTTTGTGTTTATGGTCCTCGGGATCAGCTCCACACACATCACTTGTATTTAAACTTTTGTGAAGACCTGTGAGACGCGGCTCGTCACTCGCTGCTCTGACCATGTGAACGAGCCGTCGTTTGCTGCTAGAAAGTTTTGGTATTAACCCGCAGCACAGCAGAATGGGAAGATTAAAAAAGCAGTTCTCTGTGCGCAAAGGTGCCGGAGCTGTTGCGGGTTTTGGCGCCGCTGTCTCAACTCTGATCTAGTAGAACGCAGAGCTGCACTTATGAAAAGTACGCGGCTCGAAATGGCTGTTACTTCAAAGAACGTTGGACTATTTTAAACTACGCGGTTAACCGGTTTCAACCGGTTAATGAGGCTCGGTGGTCGGTCATGAAAATGCATAGTTTTTTACATCCCTATTCCTTAGTATCATTGATGATACTACATGCGTGTGCTTATTTACTTTTTATTTAATTTAATCAAAATTAGGATACATTTAGGGCGACAGTAGCTCAGTTGTTAGAGCATTGGCCTTAAGGCCAGAAGGTCGTGGGTTCAATTCCCACCTCTGCACCTTCTCCACCGACTCCCACTGATGACTGCTGTCGTTGTGTCCTTGGGCAAGACACTTAACCCTACTTTGCCCAAAGCCCCAACTGAAAGATCAAGGCTATGCTCACACTCAGAGAGCAGCCATCCTCCTGTGGACTCACCACCTGCAGAGGGTCAGTGAGGGGCTGGTGCTATGAGACTTGGGTGGCATCTCTGATTGCCACCCCCCTGACCCAGAAATGGATTAAAGGGTAGAAAATGGATGGATGGATGGAGGATACATTTACTTAGTTCTGCAGGAGAAGGATTATTAATTAAATTTGACCCTTTTTAAAAAAAAAGCTGAAGGTAAACTGCAGGAGAACTTCACTATAATGAAGACATTTAAACATGTGGAATGTTGTATGCAATTACTACTCTTATAAACACGTGTACTGAGAGATTTGTCGTTGTCACTCGATACAATGCTGCTGCATTCAAAATGCAGCAGCTCGAGTCCTGACAAGAACCAGGAAGTACGACCATATTAGTCCAGTCCTCAGGTCTCTGCACTGGCTTCCTGTGGCTCAGAGAATAGACTTTAAAACAGCTCTGCTTGTGTACAAGTCTCTCCATGGCCTCGCACCAAAATATATTAGTGACATGTTAGTACCATATGAACCAGCCCGGACTCTGAGGAGCACAGGGACTGGACTCCTGTTAGTGCCCAGAGTCAGAACTAAACATGGGGAGGCTGCTTTTCAGATTCATGCTGCTAAAATCTGGAACATTCTTCCTGAAGATGTGAGACAGGCCTCCTCTCTGACAATGTTTAAAACCAAGTTAAAAACGGTGCTGTTTAGCTGTGCATACAACTGAGGGATTTTATATTTTTATCTTTCTTTTTAATGTTCTGTGATTATTTATGATTTTAATGCTATCTTGTTCAGCACTTTGAGTTGCCTTGTGTATGAATTGTGCTATACAAATAAACTTGCCTTGCCTTGCCTTGCCTTACAAGTTATGAACACCTCAAAGTATTTACGGTACCTTAGACTAACCCCTGGGTTGACAAACTCATGTGTTTTTGCTCTACATGATCTAGGGTTTTATTTTTATGACCGTTAAGTATTGGTGAATCATGTGCCCAATGAATTTTCATACGCCATGCAGTATTAGCCCAGACCATCAATGCTCAGAGTTAATTGGAGTACATGAAAATCTACTTGCGAGCCACATGTTTGACACACCTATAAATCCGAACTGTCCTCAGCCGTATTCATTCACTGGTTCTACCCAAAAACTTGGAAATTGTTGTTTAATTATGATGTAATAATAATTCATCCAGAAAGTTGATGAACAAGTCTCCTTCAATAACCATTAGTTATTAACTTGTTTATTTCCTGTTCTTTTATCTCCCATCGGAAATGCCCGGCATTTTTGTCATTGTAGAATAAAATCTTAACTCAATCTTATCTATTCTCCCACAGACTCACATCCACAAACCACATCTCCTGAGCAGCCCGTCTCACCCACAGGTCAGAGGCAGGACAGTGTACCTGAGCCACAGTCTGAGGCGTCTCTGCAAATGCAGGATCATATTTTACTAATCAAGCCAGCAAAGTTTGAGACATGCTCTGAGCAGGGCATACTCACATACAGCACAAAGGATTTTAATGCCATTCTTGCAACCAAAGAAACAAGCACTGAACCCGTACCTTTGAAGGACCAACCGATGGAAGTATCATGTTCCCGGGCTTCGAACGAAAATGATCTGGAAACGGTTTCGAGAGACACAAACAGAAGAAAGGGCGATGGCAGTCTTCAAACTGTTGACTCTTCAACTTGTCATTCTGAAGACAACTTGGATATTGCTCCGGAAATCAAACCTAGTCTTTTATTTTCCAGCCTAACATTTGGAGAATGTTCAAAGTCCTCAGTAGAGCGATTAACTGAGATGGTCACTGGCCCTTCCCACTCTTCACCTCTGACCAGAGTGACCCCACACTCACACCCTCAGTCTCCGTTCATTCATTCAATGGGAGATTGTAGTATTCATCCAACTACACTCATACCACTCACTCCCAAGATTGGAATGGGCAAACCGGCTATTACCAAGAGGAAGTTTTCTCCAGGACGACCACGGGCCAAACAGGTAGGCTGTTAAATAATTGATGGTGTTTTTGGTCAACATCCATTAGGAATTAGTTGCTGGTTAGTATTATGCAGATCACATGTAAATTCTGTGACGTGCCTCATCACAATCAGCCAAGCATATTGATTCCATATTCCCATATCCATGCTGTAAACGTTAAATCGTTGTCACTTGATACTAATGCAGTCTGTCAACTGATTTACAGTTTTAAACTAACACTTTGCAAACTAATGATGACTAACTGAGGAAAGCATTCATATTGATCTGGTAATGCTAACCTTGTGTAGTTCCTCATCCTAACCTGCATGAACTAATTCTCACGAATTATCCCCTTTATTATTAACTACATTCTATACTAAGGATAAGAATGCTTTGACTCCTTTCCAGATGGCTGCATTAGAGGCTCATTAAATCTCTAACATCTTTTTGTATGTTTTGTCTTTTGCTGGCTTTGTTTTTAAGTTGCTGCATTTTGTCGCCCTCCTCTCCCCATTTCTCTCACTCTCTGGCCCACCCCACCCTCTGACCTTAGGGTGCATGGAGCCCCCATAGCAGTGTGAATTCCCCCTTGTCCTGGTCCCCTGACCAGCACGAGGGGTGGGACATCTCAAAGACCAGGCAATCCTCAGGCTGCCCAAGCTGGAGCGTCAGAGTGGTAAATACTACTACTGCAGCTCTCCCTTGTCGCCGGGTTAATAGAAGTTTCTGAATCCCAAAGGCCTGGCAATGTTTTTTGTCAGCAGTTGAAGGCCAATTGAAATAAACAATATATCATTGTGTATGTGTATGAAGTGAAGTCTGTAATATAAAAAAAGTAAAGCGTGAGCAAGCCAACACCTCATATCTCCTCCCTACCAGAATGGATTGACAGCTTTTGTCCCAAGTTGCAAAAGATTAATGTTGGTAGCTGGGGCATGTGGAGCGACAACATTGCACATGTTTTGTTTAGGGCATGTGCAATACCAAAAAACCCTTTGCAAGTAGCATGTTCTAAAGCATGTTTTGTAATAATTTCCCTAATGACGTATGAGGTTAAGTGGATAACAACAATGCTTTTTGATGTCATTCATAAAAGCAGAAATATAGATTACTAAAATTATTATAGCTATCTGGTGAGTTCTAACTAATGTTTTTCATAGAGCCACTGTTTTATTTTGATAGTCCCTTGTCTTTTGCCTAGTATTTTCACTTGACCCTAGTGACCCATAGGGCAGTTATTTGGGATTTTGGATAAAATAAGAAGTGCTGTGAATGCAAAGAACCGGCATTAACAGCTAACCGGCTACACTTGGCAACCCACTGCGCATGTAATGCATCATTTTTGCTGCGCAAATAATTGACAACCAATTATTATATTTGTACACAAGCCCATTTTTCATTGGTAGAAACATCTCTCTAAATGCCTTTTTTAATCTAAGCTTGGTACTGCTTGAATTCATCCAATTTGTTTGGTTTCCTCCTGTTAAGGGTCGCGGTTCAGGCTTTCCAGGTAGGAGAAGACCCAGAGGTGCTGGACTGTCTGGACGTGCTGGACGCGGCCGGGCTAGAGGAAGAAATCTTGCCAGTCCCAGCTTCAACCCTGGGGTAATGCTTTCAGCAGATTTGCTTTCACAATCGCTTGCACCCTTGTGCTGTTCCCTACATTTCACTAATTTGAATTCTTATTTACAGATCACTTCAATTGAAACATCATATCCAATCAAAGAGGAGGAGGAAAGTGCCATGCACAATACTGTTGTCATATTCTCCAGTAATGACAGCTTCACATTGAAACAGGTACATTTTTAATAGCACTTGTTATTGAGTTTTTTATGGATGAGTTATTGATTCTTTATCACATCACTAACACAATTTTGAGGCCTATGTATTCTTGTGTGCCTTAACAGCTCTTTGTAGATTGTAAAGTTCAACTGAAAGAATAACTACTGTTGTTCCAGGACATGTGTGCGGTGTGCGGAAGCTTCGGTCTTGGTGCTGAGGGCAGACTTTTGGCCTGTGCTCAATGCGGTCAATGCTATCATCCATTCTGTGTAGGCGTGAAGGTATGAACTTAATACTATCCACTTAAAAAGGTAAAGTGATGAGTGTTAAAATTTGTATCTGCTTCGGACAGATGAACAAAGTGGTTTTGAGTAAAGGATGGCGCTGTCTGGAGTGCACTGTGTGTGAAGCTTGCGGCCAGGCCACAGACCCTGGCCGACTGCTTTTATGTGATGACTGTGACATCAGCTATCACACTTACTGCCTGGATCCTCCACTACAGAATGTGCCCAAGGAGAGCTGGAAGTGCAAATGGTAAGCCAAGTCATGAACAAAGTTGCAAACTACTACAAAAACATATTTTGTTCATAACTGGCTTTGTTTTTTCCCCGTCACCCAAACTTTGCAACAGAACTTCCACTACCCCCCACATATCACCTTTATCTATTGACTTTTTAATAGTAGATTAATGTGAACAATGGTCCTTGGTAAAATATTTCCTTTTAACTAGGTTCAATTATGAAAGTGAAAAGATGGGTTAAGACATTTACACTATATTTGCTTTTGCACGCATCAAACACAAATGTTCGACATATGGGCCGCACTAGACGCACATTCTCTAAATTTCAGACGCTAGGGGTGTTCAGACCAGAAGTGCTGGCCTGCGGTGGCGCCCGCCGTAAGTGGCGGAAGTAGCGGGCGGACTTTGATGCTAACAGAGTTAAGCTAACAGCTTTTTGCGTAAAGTTCTTCTCCATTAATGCAGCTCTTCAGCGTCTCTGTGTCCAGAGACCCTCCAGAGACTCTATATAACAGCAGTGTGTTCATGGAATTGCGCCATAATTTTATTTTATTATTAAACGGTACTTCCGTGTTGACGAACACACTAGAAGCAGTTTTATACCATTGTCAACCCTGGTTTTAGTCCTGGAGTAGCTCCTGTTTTGGCTGTTTTCAGTCTGCTCGCTAGACTGCTAATGTCCCCATGACCACTTTGCGGCTCTCTGATTGGTCGCTGCACGAGCGTCCTGAGGAAAAAGTTCTGCAATGTTAATCTGCTGCAAGCGTATATTTTTTGCTGCTGCGTCTCTACCACGCAGTCCGTGCGTGCGTTCCGAGACCCACAAGTAGTTCCACGCTCAAACGCACATCACCTTGACTTTGCATTGATAGTCGCCGCAACGCGTGATCCGGTCTGAACGCCCCATTACTTTGGATTATTAGGGTATACTGAATTTTAGGTGGACTTTGACTTCAATTCTTTGTCCGTTTCTAGCACTGTGTGAAAAAAAAAAATCTCCACATACATGTATTGTTCTGGTGGACGTAACTGGTATTAGAATTTGGGTTAATAACTTTATCTGTTGGGCAGGTGTGTGACATGCACGCAGTGTGGTGCCACTACACCAGGTTTGAGGTGCGAGTGGCAGAACAATTACACTCAGTGTGCCCCCTGTGCCAGCCTCAGCACATGCCCCATCTGCCTGTTGGACTACAGCGAAGGCACGGTCATTGTGCAGTGCCGGCAGTGTGACAGGTGAGCACTAACTCATAAAACACCTCTGGAAATTAACCTTTTGCATTACGGTATTTTTGCATCTAATTTATTTTCTCTGCAGATGGTTTCATTCTTCTTGTCAAGGTCTTCATTCAGAAGAAGATTTAGAAAAAGCGGCTGATAGCTGCTTCGATTGCACAATGTGTAGAACATTCAAGACCACTAAAAGTGATTATCTTTCATCTGAATGGAACACTTGTCTACTTGTTTGCCCTACTTATGTTCTGTTCTTGTTCTATACTATCCTGCAGCAGTTATGACTAAGACCAGAGATGCTATTGAACCTCTTCTTATGACACAAATATTCACAAAGGCTAAAGAAATGGGTAAGTTTTTTGTTGTTTAAAAACTGATTTCAATGTGTTCTATGGTTTCCTAAACATTTATTCGACACTTCATTTTAGATCTTTCGAGAACCTATACCCAAGATGGAGTGTGTCTGACCGAGTCAGGCCTGTGTCAGCTCCAGAGCCTTTCTGCAACTGCCACTCGTCGGCGAAAGCCTAAACCTAAGCTTAAGTTAAAGATAATCAACCAGAACAGTGTAGCTGTGCTGCAGGCGCCCGTAGACCATCTTTCTGAGCACTCGCGCGATGAAGACATGGAGGACAACAGAGGTACCTGCGCTGAAAAAGGTCATTATTAAACCTGACAATATCAAGTTAAAGATTGAAATTTGGCATTTGGCATGATTGTTCTGATTTTTCTGATATGGGTGCTTTGCACACAACCTGTATGGTATAAACCAGGCACTACCATTTTCAATATGCTCTGATAAAAAATGACCCTTGACCTTGAATTAAAATGCATCTAAATAATTTATTGTTACAATAAAATTAATGTATTGTTTCAATAGACATTGCTATTTTTAGTGAAGTGACTTGAATGGATACATATTGTACATGGTGTGGCTCTGGGTTATATGGTGCTTTTAAAAAATCTCATTCAGCCGAAATCTTTGCAACTGAATTGTTAGGCCCCAGTGTTGAGGCACAGGGGCCCAGTTGGGGATTTCTCTGGAGTAGAGCTGTCACTCATCATCACTGCTCTCTCACAGAGGCGGAGGTTTTAGATTGTGAAGCAAAGTCAGACTCAAGCCTCGAGCGGGAGCCAGTAGAAGATGACTCCAAGGGAGCCGACGGTAGCAAGAAGCGGAAGAGGAAACCGTACCGGCCGGGTAGGGCATCTGATTAAAGGAGACAGCTCCTCTCAAGTGTAAAATGGCACAAAGCATGGTCTTAATCCTGAATGGGGTTACCTAGTGTTTCAAATATTTCATTTTGAAACTAGGAATAAATAGGTATTTATATATAATCGTTTACAGTTGTCATTTCTTTAGGCATTGGCGGGTTTATGGTCCGCCAGAGGAGTCGTCCTGGACAAGGTCCAGGAAAAGCTAAGCGCACTCTTTGTAGAAAAGATTCCACGGGTTCTGTGTCAGAAACCCCCACCGGAAATGATGGTATATTTCACGTTTACTCTGAAAAGAACACAAATAATAATAATCTACTGAATATTAATTTTTTGACACGCTGTCCTATAGGATGGACAGAAGGTTTGCCTGATACTCCTGTGGATGAGAATCCTCCTGGATCAGAGGTTCCTGAGAAAATAAAGAAGAGATACAGAAAAAAGAAGACAAAGTTGGAGGAGGCCTTTCCCACCTACCTTCAGGTTTGTTGTAATTTTTGTTGTTTTCATACTGTACATATGGATAAATTGCATTGAAGTAAAAGTAAATTGAGAGAGGAATAGTATATCTCTCCTAAGAAGAATATAAACTTGCAGAGTTGGAAGGATTAATATGGAAACGCATGAAATAATGAATTATTCAAGTTATTTGAATGTCTTTGTGGAGCTGGGAGCTTGCTTTTACATGTTATGAAGGATTGTAGATGACTTGATTGCATGAGCTCAGTAACCACACGGCTTTGACTAGAACCTTTTGTTTATTATATATAATTTTTGCCATCGTTTTCAGGAGGCATTCTTTGGAAAGGACCTGCTGGACAAAAGCAAACAAAGTAGGCAACAGCGGACAGAATCGGGTTTTCTGGAAGACGGCCAAAGTCAAGTGGAAAGAAGGCGTCCCCCCACCTTCCAGAGCCGACCATCAAATGCAGCTCTTACTACACCTGACAATAGCAGGGATACAGGTATGTTGAGAAATTTTCTGATATCCGTTTAGACAAAAACAATCTCTGCACAGTTCTGTCAAGATGAGAAAAGGTAAACCAGGGCACAATCAGGTTCTGTCACTTCAAGTGTTTTATTTAAGTCAGTTTTACTTGCTCAAACACACACATGCACACGAAATGCAAATAAAACCAGATTTCACTCATTTCCATTTACCATCTTATGATTTTTGACCATTTTGCTTTCTTTCTTTTTTGTTTCTCCTTTTTCCCTAATTACAGAGGCCTCTGAGGAGCCTTTAGTTGATCTGTCTGATGTTTTGAACTCTGATGCAGACATCTTGGGAATGCTGGGAAAGACAAGCAGTGATTCTGGTGCGTTAACGGTTTACAGCAGTGGTCTTATTTCCCTTGGCTTATTATGTTGCTTTTACTATATTCTGCCAACACAACTTTCTAGTGCACATTTGGTCTTCCTGTGTGTTTTTTATTTTGCATTGTCTGTGTGTTGTGGTTCTGTCTACACCGTTTTCACTCATTTGATCTGGTTTTGGGTTCTTGTAGGTCTTGATTTTTGCTCCTTCCAGGTTGATGGCTCACCACCTTCTTTTGGTAAGGGTGCACTGGCCTACTAATCCCCTGCTTCAGTGTGGTCTTCCTCTCACACTGTGCGCCAGCCTTTCTGCATGTTTATGCTGCTTCTTATTAACCTTTTCATTTTAATCTTCTTAGCTCTTAACCCAATAAGTCAGTATGCTCATTTGCCTGGCAACTCTTGTGATCTTCATTAATGCTATAAAACTGGCAACATTACATATTAGCTATGAAGCATAGACTCAGATTCATCCAACATTCTCATTTTTGCTGTTGTTTTGAAGATTGAAATCCACATTACAAGTTCCTGTTTATTTAATATTTCTGGCTACCAAAATGCAGAAAATGTTGTAAGTTACCCCACCTTACAAAATAAGTTGTATCATACAGTGTGCCCTTGAAAGGCCAGATTAGATTTTTGGGTTGAGATTTGTACTGCAATGTACACAATTATACAAAGCAGGTCATTATGAATATACTCAAACACAAAGCCATTTGTATTGTGGTGCCTAACATTTTTCTCTCACTTTTTTCCCTGTTAATCTCTAACTTTGGAAGTTCGGTGAGTTTGTGTTTGTGAATATATGTCATGATTTTATCTTTCAACAGTTGGTCTGGACATTGGGTCCACATCTAGTAGTTCTCCAGCTGCCCAACAATCTCAGGGTGGTCGCAGAACTCCTCGTAATCTCTCTGAAGAACCTCTGGATGGAATCCTCAGTCCTGAGCTTGACAAGATGGTCACTGATGGTTAGTAGAAGATTCTATATTGATCTATTTTGTTTTTGGAATGTATTTTTTCTTAAATGCCTTTTTCTCCCTCAGAATCAATTCTAAGCAAGTTCTACAAAATCCCAGGTATTTAACATCTTGAGCCAAAATATGATTACATTTTATTTGAAAAGTTACAAGATGCAACTGTTTCTTACAGAGCTGGAAGGAAAGGATGTTGAAGACCTATTCACTGCTGTTCTCAGCCCCAGCACAAGCCAACCACCTCCACCACAGGTGCCTCATCACCAGGCTACAGGCCAACATTCTGCCACTTCAGGATTGAACATGCCACACCAAAACATGGGTAATATGCAACCTAAATTTTCAATGTCCTTGTGTAATCTCTTGAATATGAATGTTAGAATGCTAATCATTCAACAACAAAGTACATCACTGTCATGTCATGCAATAGCTGCTCTGATCTCTGTCAGGAGTGATAAACCCAGTGTCTGAAAAGACGTTTGACGATCTTAAGCTACTTGTGGCTGGTAGGTTTTTACGTCCGGTACATTACAGCATGACAAGCGCATTTGGACAATACTCAACTTTTTGACCAAAGAGTCACGCAGCAACCAATCACACAAATGTCCTTATGGACATTTACATTTACATCCACATGGACTTGTCATATCTTGCAGCTTAGGTTGTGGACTTGACATATACATGTAAAGAGCCATTCATGTTCAGGGCGCACTGTCTCTGCAGTGATCAGAGCCGCTGCTTATTGAAATTGAATATGCCAAAATTTATTTAGCCTCAAAATGTCAGAAAACTTGAATTGTAACTACATTGTGCGATGTTATGTTATTGTAAAATTTTACATCTCCTCTGGTGGAGCATATAGACGATGTGTTTGTATTGTATCAGCCAAAACCTTACATACGTTTTTTCGATGTGACTAGGTACTTCCATGTTCCCACGTATGCCGATAGTCAATGGTGTAATGGGACCAAATCAGCATTTTTCTGGAAATGCAACAACGGGACCTTGCATCCCAGAAAATCTCCCACTGAATCGCATGCCTTTTTCAGACAATCCCAGGTAAGTAGTAATCAAATAGACTTTTTATTTCTATTTTTTCCTATTTCTTTTTCTTACTCTAACATTTTGCTTAATCCTGACAACAGAGACAGAAAATTTAATCATATATCCAGAGATGCTGGGCATTGGGCATCCCCTCCCCATGGGTTTGGTCAGACACCTCCTGTGTCACTTTCAGAAGGAGAGACTGAAGCCATGTCAAATGCCCAGAAGAGTACACTCAAATGGGAGAAAGATGAGCCACTTGGAGAGCTTGCCACCGTTGCACCTGTCCTTTATACCAATGTGAATTTCCCCAACCTCAAAGAGGAATATCCAGGTGTGTAACTCTTTTTTTTTTTGTAATTTGTATCATATTTTGGCATTTATTGGTATGTTTTGTTTGTTTACCAGACTGGGCGACAAGAGTAAAACAGATTGCAAAACTTTGGAGGAAAGCTAGTTCTCAAGACAGGGCTCCGTATGTGGTAAGTTAGTGTTTTAATGAAATCATTGTAGTGCCTATATTAGAGCTGTAATCGAGCCTAAATAGTTCAGGCCGGACTGCACCCAAGACAATTCTGCCCGAACCAGACCTGAATCAGAGCCTGACTACTTTTTCCAAGCCCAAACCTGCCTAGAATCTGGCAGGATTGAGTGTGTGTGAGAACCTAGTTCTGATGTCCGCAGCAGAACCGAGCCTGCCTTTTTATCTGTGCCTGCTACTAGACGTCTCGCAAAGCAGATTAAACATGGCAGAACGTTCATTCATCTTCATTCATCTTCTTCCCTTTAATCCATTTCTGGGTCAGGGGGGTGGCAGTCAGAGACGCCACCCAAGTCTCATAGCACCAGCCCCTCACTGACCCTCTGCAGGTGGTGAGTCCACAGGAGGACGGCTGCTCTCTGAGTGTGAGCATAGCCTTGATCTTTCAGTGGGGGCTTTGGGCAAAGTGGGGTTAAGTGTCTTGCCCAAGGACACAACAACAGCAGTCATCAGTGGGATTCGGTTGAGAAGGTGTAGAGGTGGCAGAACGTATCTCGTGGATAAACATATTGCGCATCTGCAGTTAACAAAGATAACATGTCCCCATGGATCTGATCACTTAGAATCTTCATTTGTCTTTGTAAATACATGTGATGTTTGTCATTAGGTATTGTATTTTTACATTGTTTATCTTCAAACTTTCTAGCAAAAAGCAAGAGATAACCGAGCTGCCCTGCGCATCAACAAAGTCCAGATGTCCAATGAGACGGTGAAGAGGCATCATCCACAGCAACAGCCTCCAGAGGTGTTTGATCCCACCATACCACTAGACACAGATCTGCTGTTTAAAGACCCTTTGAAACCAAAAGAGTCAGAGCATGAACAAGAGTGGAAGTTTAGACAGGTAAGAGTGAATGCAGTCAAGTCAGCGTATGCAGCGTCAGGGCTACTTTCATTAAGACATCCATGAAATCTACTAAACAACCGCACTATCCTACACATTTAGACCAACTACCTTGGTTTGTAGGCCCATATTCCAAATGTTTGTTTCTTTACTTGAGAATTATCCTTTTTGACTTCTAATTGGTATTACTCTTTATTTCAACAGCAAATGCGTCAGAAAAGTAAGCAGCAAGCCAAAATTGAAGCCACACAGAAACTAGAGCAAGTTAAAAATGAACAGCTCCAACAGCAGCAACTTCAGCAACATCTTGGTTGCCAGTCCGAAGACGGCAACAACAGTGGGAACCAGAGTCCAGCCTCGCAGCCCAGCAATGGGAGCTTGTCCCCAATGCAACCACTCTGCTCTAAAGAAGGCTTCGCCAGGCCACAGCTCCCAGAAAACCCCACCTCAGGGCCAGAGGATGTGTTTCTCAGACCACCTCCTCCGCCCCCATCTGGGCACCTGTCTCAGCCTCAGTCCCCACAGGTCTTCTCTCCTGGGTCCTCGGGCTCTAGGCCTTCGTCTCCTTGGGACCCATATGCAAAGATGGTTGGAACTCCACGACCACCACCAGCACTGGGGTCCAATGCATGTCGCAGACTACCTGTTGAATCTGGTAAATCCCCAAACTCTCTGATGGAGCAGCAAGGGCGGCCCTCTCCTGCTCATGAGTCTTTTGGTTCACCCACTTCCATTAGTAGTGATCCCTATGCCAAACCCCCTGACACACCAAGGCCATCAAATGAGCAAGATCCTTTTTTAAAGCCTATGGGTCCACCCCGGGCCAGTCAGAGTTCTCAGGGAAGGCCTCCAATGGGATCACCAGGGAGGGATCCTTATTCTAGGCCAATGATTAGAAATGAGGCCTATCAGCGAATGGCGCAGAACAGGATGATCTTATCGGATCCTTACTCCAGACCGTTACTAACACCTATTCCTGGCAGTAATGAATCAGGTTCTGTTCCTCTATTCAAAACACCCATGGCTCCACCACAGGGCTCTGAGTCCTATGGTCGGCACGAGCGGTTTAATCAATTGAATGATCCGTATTCTCAGCCTCCTCACACGCCAAGACCACCAACAGGAAGCGACAGCTTTACAAGTCCCCCACGAATAGGCCAGCAACACTCTCAGTTTGTCCAGCCTGGCCAGATGAATCAGTTTTCTAGGAACCCGTATGCTCAAGCACCTTCAACCCCTAGGCCGGACCACTATACGTATGACCCGTTCGCTCAGCAGTCTGGATCCAGCAGACCAACTACTGAAAGTGGTCATTCTCGTCAATTTTTTGAGCCTTATGCCAGACCTCCTGGTACCCCAAGACCCCATGACAACCACTGTCAGCCAAGCACCTCTAGCCCATCTTCAGACCCCTATTCCCAAGCTCCAGCCACTCCACGTCCCTCTAGTATAAATAATCTCCAGAGAATGTCACCTTCTCATACTGTAGACCCGTATGCCCAGCCACCAGGGACCCCACGGCCATCTGTTGTAGAGCGGTTTTCTAAGTCCCCTGGAAGCCAAAGGGGAAGTATGGAGCCATTTATTACCACCCCTGGCATGACAGGGGTTGGCAGTAATGACATGTTTTCACAGCAAGGAGGCCCTAGACCACAGTACCATGATCCATATGCTCAACCACCAGGTACACCTCGACCTACTGCTGATGGCCGGGGGCAAAGGCCAATGGTAGGGCAAGATGCTTTTTCCCCACCACCTGGAAGACTACAGGAGTCGCTTATTCAGCCTGGCTCGCAAACACCAAAACACCCCAGTATTGCTGATGATCAGTCACCTTCACGTCAAGCAAGCCAGACACCAGGCCATGACCCATTTGAACATTCTCACGTGGAAAATAAAGATAATTTGTCTATTACAAACAGTGTGGTATCATCGCACGATCCAGATCTGGCATCTAACAACCCATCTGTGCCTGGTACAGCATCAGAGGCCGACGGGGAAAGTGAAGAACGACTCAGACAGGTATGGCATTTGTGATATAAGAAACCTTGTGAAATAGATCAGTGAAACACACTATGTGACCTTAAGTAACAAGCTGGAGTATGGAAAATCTTCTGCATGATTTTTAATCAATGTTTAAAGAAAATTAACACAGGCAATAACGAAATTGCTCCGTTTTAATGGAGCGCTCCTAGGGCTGTAGGGTGCTCAGTCTTTTTGATTGTTCCCTCATCAAACCCATACCTGGAGTTGTTTTTTGCTCCATCCAGGCTAATATAAGGGAATCATCTCTAATTTCCTGGTACACTGACAAATCCTTACAATATTATGTCATGTACAGATCAGTTTTCTGCTTTTTTAAATTTATTCCCTCTAGATGCCGACCAATTTTTTAGAACCGACATGCAGATTTTTTGAGATTCTACACATGTACTGATTTATCCATAAATTATCAAGTTTGTTTTATTTTTTTCATTCCAAGTATTTTTGTAGCTCTGCACAACATATTTTGTATATACTGTGAATGAAAATAAATAATTTTAAAGGGGAATTTTATGCTGCACACACCTGTCCTTGATTATAAAAGAGGTTTGAACTGAGTTAAGACATTATCCATTGATTTACGTTCAATGGAACGCAACCTGAATAATAATTGCTTATTTTCTCACTAACTTAATTTGTGGGATCAGCACAGTATGTGTCTGCACTCACAAATAAGTATGTAAAAATTACTTGGTGTATATTAACAGAACTTTATGGCATTGTGAACATAGTGTTTATAGACAGCTGCTTTGGGCTAGCATGATTTGTGAAGACTTTTCAACAGTTATCAAGCTTTAAGATGTGTCATATGACTATATTGGGAGAGCTAAAGTTTGACGAACTGAGTTGCTGGCAGAGTGGTGCCCGTAACTTCCAAAAAATGTGTTAATTGGCCAAGATTTCACAAATATTATCAGTGTCTCTAATTTCTTTTCTTTTTTTTACAACTGTGTGGCCTTAGTTGCAGCATGCACTGTTTGATGTTCATGTTAAAAAAAAACATTAATGTACGTTCCCACTTCTACTACCAGATGGATGTTTTTTATTTCTTTACATTCCAAAATACTGTATAAAATGCCAAAATAAATGTCTCATGTTTAAGATCCACAAATATATTTCTTAAAGATGTATTTTGCATTGACAAAACTATATATATAAAAAAAACATGCTTTTTATATTTCAGCGACAAAGAATACGAGAACTTCTTATCAAGCAACAGCAGCAACGGAATGCAAATCGTCAAGAAAGAGGCCCACAAGAGGCAGGCAATATACCACCTAGAATGCCTCGACCCTGGCCTCATGAGGGTCATGGGCAGCAAGGGGAAAGTTTCAACCGGCCTCCCCCACCGTATCCAGGTCAAGCATCTGTCCCACCAATGAGGTTCCCAAGACCTTTTCCAACAGATCAGCGTGTTTTATTCAATAATGATGGACATGTACTACGTGGACCGCATCCTGCGGATCCAAATTTTCGACATCAAGAACTGAGGTTTGTGTTAAAATGTTTTAAAGCAAATGGTAAATCCCTAACCATTAAACATCGTGTTAATGGGTATGAACTGTATTTATTTTACAGGTTTTCATTTCCATCTGGTGCTATGGGACATCAAGGAGCTCAGGAGTTCGTTCCTCGGGGGCAACACCCAGTGCAGAATATGCCTCCACACATGAGGCGGTCAATGTCTGCAGAAATGGCAAAACAAATCGGAAGTAATCCCATGAGATTACAGCACTTTCAACGTGGAGTGCCAGTACAACAGCATAACATTATGGGGCAGCCTTTTATTGAACTGCGTCACAGAGCAGCGGAAAACAGGTTGCGGATGCCCTTCTCGCAGAGTGTAATGCAGTGTGGAAGTGTGGATCCCAGCATGCTTGCACATAGACCTCCTGGATTTTCAGGCATGCCTGATTCTAGATTACCCTTAGCTCCTAGGATGGACATTCCTTTAGCAGGCCAAACGGTCAATATGCAGTTTTCAGCTAGCATGGGCAATCTGAATCAGCAAACTCAAATGTGTGGAAACACAATGCTTAAACAACCCTCTTTAATGAGGTCCTTGAGTCAGCCTGCTCCCACTGACACTCGCACCTTAACACAAACTATGATTTCCAATGCACAGCTTTCTGGACACACAGAAACCATTTCACTACCAACTTGTGATGTAGTCGAAGAGAAGCTAGATGCAGAGGAATCTGCTGTCAAAGACCTTGAAGATGTGGAAGTAAAAGATTTGGTGGATGCTGATCTGGAAAACCTAAATTTGGACCCAGAAGATGGCAAAGATCTGGATCTTGAGACAAATGACTTGCATCTTGATGACTTCCTCGGAGTCTCTGGTAAATTTGACATCATTGCATACACTGACCCTGATCTCGATGATATAAAGAAAGACCTGTTCAGCGAGGAATTGGATCTAAATGATCCAATGGAAGAGAATACAGATGATGGTGACAACGATAAAAATTCGAATTGCTCCAGTGGAGCTGAGACAAAATTCTCTGAGTCTGCTCATGCAAAAACTAATACTACCGGTGAGCAGTCGGTTGCTGCAGATAACTTGGAGATTTCTGTGTCACAAGATCAAACACCACAGAAGGAAATTAAAAGTGAGTTTATTGATGGTCAGAGCAATTCTGACACCGTAGAAAAGCAAAACGTGACTTCAAATCAGCAGGCAGGAGTTCCAGATTCCACCCCACTCATTAAGCAGCAGCCAGAAGAGCAGTCATTAAATGCAATGGTTGAGTCTGTCAATCAAGACAATGTTTTGCAAGGCCAAGTTATGGACATTAAACATGCTACTCAAACTCTGATTCATCAAAGCATAACAGATGCATTGACTAGTGACACATCTATGGGAGACTATGCATCAGACCCCCAACTTGAGACTCGCTCCTGTACTGACCAAAGTGGTCTGAACCAGGCTCAACAGGCAAATGGAAATGCAGCCATGGGCCATCGTCCCCTCTTGCTGGAAGAGCAGCCTCTCCTCTTACAGGACCTTCTCGACCAAGAGAGGCAAGAACAACAGCAACAAAGACAGATGCAAGCCATGATCCGACAACGATCCACTGACTCCTTTTTTCCAAATATTGGTAAATTGTTTATCTGGCAAATGCAGATAATGCATTTTTTTGCCATAAGTTAATATTTGTAATTGTTTGGATTAAAACTTATTTTTCAGATTTTGATGCCATCACTGATCCTATAATGAAGGCAAAAATGGTCGCTCTTAAAGGAATTAATAAAGTCATGGTTCAGAACAACATGGGCATGTCCCCGATGGTCAGGTAAACGTTTGCATGTTTGTGTTCTCAATGTTTCTCATTCTTCAGGCAATAAAAACTGCTTTATACGTGAAAGCATGACAATCATTTGATATTGCAGATTTCCTGGCCCTTTACCCCCTTGTCCTGAAAGTGCCCCACTTCCTCCTCAAGTAATCGGACAGGTTGGTTTAGTTTGTTGATGGATTACAATTATTTATCATTCATATTCATAATTTTTACACTTGCCTGTGTTTGTAGGATGGACATTTGGCTCAAGCCTCAAGACCAAATCCTCCAAACTTTGGAACAGGGTTTGTCAGTAAGTTTCCCAACATGTTGAGTTGATTTTAAAATTGCACAATTTGTTCAACCAGCCTTATTAACACAAACTTCCCATCAGACCATGCTCAAAGGGCTCAATATGAAGAGTGGCTCCAGGAGACACAACAACTACTTCAAATGCAACAAAAGTTTCTAGAAGAAAAGATAGGCGCACACCGAAAATCTAAAAAAGCCCTGTCTGCTAAGCAGAGAACAGCTAAAAAGGCGGGAAGAGACTTCCCAGAGGAAGACGCAGAGCAGCTCAAACATGTCACAGAGCAGCAAGGCGTTGTACAGAAGCAGCTGGAGCAGGTAAATGTCCAACCAACACACCCTTTCCACTGTGTAAATGATTTTCTTCTCCACTCACTATGTCAAGACTATTAGTATACCATTACCAAAGCCCAGAGCTTAGTCCCCTCCTAAATTTAACTTTAACCTCATTGTGAAATAAATATGTTATTACATTTTTTTTAATATTATATATATTAATTTCTATTTTAGTGACCAATGCAAAAAAGCGAATTTATGTTGTATGCTTATTTAACTATGAAGTGTGTATGACTGTTTCAGTATTTTTATTGAATGTTTCATTTTGTTAAAGATCCGAAAGCAGCAGAAGGAACATGCAGAACTAATAGAAGAATACAGAGTAAAACAGCAGCAGAACAATATGCCTCCCTTGATGGCTGGAATGCATCCAGTTCCTGGGCCACGCGGTATGGTCCCTGGTGGTCCTCCAATCGGTCAGCCAGTGATGAACCCCATGATGCAAATGCCAACCCATCCTGGACAGCCGAATTTACCTTCACGCATGCCCAAACCTCCGCTGGGCTGGAGCCCAGGAGCACCTATACCAATGGGGGCTCCAGGAATGACTCCTTTAATGCCTCCACAAGTCCCTGTGGGGACCTCTGCACCACCTCATCAGATGCCAATGGGGCCGATGCCTCAGCATGCACAGATCCCAATGGATCCTCAAGCTGCACCTGGATCTGCTGCTCTGAAGTCCATGCAGCCTAGTAGCGAAGTAAAGTTTGATGACAATAACCCGTTCAGTGAAGGGTTTCAGGAGCGAGAAAGGAGGGAGAGGCTAAGGGAGCAGCAAGAGCGCCAACGGGTACAGCTCATGCAAGAGGTGGAACGCCAGAGAGCACTCAAACAGCGGATGGAAATGGAACAGCAAAGAATGCTTGGACCAGATGGGAACATGGCAAATTTGTCTGAGTTGTCCTTTTGCTCTTCAGAGCTGCCTCAGGAGTTTATGTCTCCACAGAGACCACCTTTACAACATCAACAGCCAATGTTCTCCCCACAGCAAGGAGCTGGAATTGGGTCTCCACCAGGAGTTTTCATGCAAGCTGATAGACGAGGCCAGATGGGAAATGGAATGATGCCTCCAGATATGGGTTCTGCAACAGGACCAGATACTCGGTCTCTACAAGGTCACAATTTTCCATCAGGACAGATGAGACCAAGGTTTAGCGGACCTGGAATGATTCTTCCATTGCAGCGAGATGGTCAGCAATTAGCCGGCGATTCAACTCCCCTGCCATCCAACTTTCCAGGCTCAGGGCAATCCCTAATTCAACTTTACTCCAACATCATTCCTGATGAGAAAGGGAAAAAGAAAAGAAGCCGCAAAAAGAAGAAGGATGAAGACTCTGAATCAGTCAAAACTCCATCTACCCCACACTCGGATCTTACTGCCCCACTTACACCATGTGTCTCGGACACCTCTTCTACCCCAACTAGAAACTCCCACATCTTTGGAGATCAAGATTTATCACGGTCCCCTTTACTAGGATCCTCTACTCCCAATCACTCCGAGCTGGAAAGGCAGCTGTCCGGGGGTCAGCCTGGTCTCCAGTTAGAACAAGCAAGGATGCAGGCTCAGGAACATGAACGGATCCTTCGCAACATTAAACTGGAGCAGCCTGATGTCAGTGAATGCCATGGTCCACAAGAGGAGTCTGTTGACTTTGGGGTACTGAGTGCTGTCAAGGAAGAGGGAAGTAAAGAGACATCCCCATTTCACCCTGCTAAAAGTCCAAATAAGAGTGAGGCTAGTAACGAACTGCTAAAACACCTACTGAAGAATAAGAGCACACCCCCTCCAGGACTGTCCCATCATCAGTCTGAAGAAAGTTTGCGCTCTGAGGAGGAAGAGATGGACTGCAAAACGCTTCTCCGACAAAGCTCTATAGACAGTAATGGGGTGAGTGTGATGATCACAAACTGTAATAAGTACTGATGGGAGTAACATTTAGATTATTTCAAGCTTAATTTCGTTTTTTTGTTTGACATGTGTTTTGATTTTACAATTGACATAATTACAGGGATATTCTGACGGCATCCCTGACTTCCATGGGTCTTTAAATTCTGAACAAGATAAAAAGAAAGGACGAAACAAGAGAGCTCCTAGAAGTGGAGACAAGCCTGCCTATCGCTACAAAAAAAGGAAGAAAGAGTCTGATGAAAGACTGTTGATAAACTCGGGTCCTGATTCTGTAATGACCCACATCAAACAGGTTTGTAAAGACCATTAATTGCTACTAATAAAGACATAAAGACTGTATAATTATACTAAAGCATTAATTGTATTTTACTCACAAATGTGCATCGGTTTTCCTAAAACACAAATTCAAAATTTACATTATCTTTTGGTGATGCAGCAGTTGTCTCTTTTACCACTCATGGAGCCGCTTATTGGAATCAGCTTTGCCCACTTTGCTCCATACGGCAGTGGTCAGTTAAATGGAGAATCCCTTTTGTCTGGAACGTTTGGCAGTGCTTCACTGGATGGTGTATCAGACTATTACTCCCAACTGACCTACAAGGTATAACAATTGTCCTTTCAATCACGTACATAGATTATATTTTGTAGAGAGTTGATGCACATAAAGCTTTACAAATGGTATCATTTTACAGCAGAGTAACCTGAGCAATCCACCAACACCGCCTGCATCTCTTCCTCCAACTCCACCACCTGTGAACCGACAAAAAATTATCAATGGATTTGCAACAACAGAAGAGCTGGCAAGCAAAGCTGCTGCTATTGGTATAATAACGGCAAAACAACTGTGTTCTTTAATTGGCAAACCACTATCTAACTGTGGAAAACCTTTGTTTATGCAGTGTCAAAAGGTCTAGTCCCAAAGGGTTTGCATGCTCCTTTTAGGCCTGAAGAAGATCTCTTGGCCCGGGCCATGGCACAGGGTCCCAAAACTGTGGATGTGCCTGCTTCTCTCCCTACTCCTCCCCACAATAACCAGGAGGAGATCAGGTAGGAATACAAGAGATGGACTGCATCTTAATTCTAAGAGTATCTTGTGCCGCCTACTGTCAAAATGTTATTTGCCAGACATAGTGCGTGTGTGTGTTCATTCTCAATGGCATACTTTGACCGCCTCACTACCATCAGTCTTCCCCAGGCTCTCCTATTAAATCACTATTACACCCTTATTACGCTCCTATTTCACTATACAAGTAGATCTTGGTCGGATAGAACCTACAGTGTAGATGCTGCTGATTTACTACTGTGTTTGGAGCTGTTGTTTTGGTAGCCATTTCAAGGACAATTCTTTTCCAGAACAGTGATCTATTCAGTCTGTCGATTCCATTTTACAGCATTTGTACACTATTATTCGAACAAGTATAATTAAACATATTTTTGTTCATTTATTTGTTTCTTTTTCCTCACAGAGTACATGATTCTTGCAAGGATCGAGACACTCCTGACAGTTTTGTACCCTCCTCTTCACCTGAAAGTGTGGTTGGTGTAGAGATCAGTCGCTATCCAGACTTATCACGGGTAAAAGAGGAACCTCTGTCGCCCTGTGTGTCTCCAGTTCTTCCCATTCTTCCTTCTGCTGAAGGCAAAGGTATAAAAGTTATTAAAGCATTCATACTTTTTATGCATCATGACGACAAATTTCTTCTTCTCACAGGAACAGAGGTCAAACTACAAGGCATAAAGACTGAATCCATGTTCTTTGGTGGCCCGTCTGAAGCTCTGAAAAGCTCTAAACAAGGTCTAGTTTCTGTGGCTATCACATTGAGACCAGCTGCAGCCGAGGTAAAAACATTCCACTACAGATGATTACATCTACTACTTTTAAATGTATATTAATAAGATCTGTTGGTTTTAGAACATCACTGGCGTGGTAGCAGCTATTTCAGACCTCCTTTGTGTGAAGATCCCTAGCAGTTATGAGGTCAGCAGTACTCCGGAAAGAGGGCCTCAGCAGATGTGTGGTGGCACCAGGATGGGCCCTCATGGTAATGACCCACGTGCTCAAATGTTCTTCCATGGACCATCCAACAATGGGTGGCCCATGATGAGGCCACATGGCATGATGCAACAGCAAGTTCAACGTTTCCGCTTTCCAGTCAACAGCCCTGGTGGGTGATATTAAATCTGCATATTGACAATTATTGTGATTCTTCAAGCCTAAGACAAATTCGAAATCTCTACTGGTGGTAACGTTTGACAATTTGTTCCAGGCTGTGCCATGATGAAGCCTGACCAAAGGATTCCTGGGAGTCCTGTTTCGAAGCCCCAGTGGTGTTGCCACTGTAAGGTAGTAGTTCTAGGAAATGGAGTCCAGAAATCTTTGCGAGAGCTCCCTGCACATTTGCAGGTATACTTTATTCTGTGCTGTTCTTCTAGAGGATTGCTTGAAAAAGATCTTCTCATCTTTACTTTTTCTTTGTAGCAACAACACTGTCGGTTGAAATCTGAGAAAAATCTGGTTTTCTGCAGCAACGGCTGCTTCCTTTTGTATTGCTCAGCAACACCTATGCAGTGTCGCCAAGCATCAGAAGTCAAGGTTCATTTCACTTTTTGTCTTGTCACTTCAAATATTGTTTTTAACCTCTAATAGAAGCATTTTTTTCTTTCTTTTTTAGGAGTCTGTCAGCCTTCTTCCATTTTCTGGGCAATCTGAAACTCTCTCCAAAGCTCAGCATCAGTACAGCAACAATATGTCCTCACTAGATGTTCATTGTTTGGCTCAACTTCAGCCAAAGCAGTCTCCGCCTTCCACCCCCCCTCTGCCCTTCCCATCAGTTGGTGAGGTTCCCAAAAATGAAAACAAGTCTGATGCTATCAAAGTGACTGTGAAACTGAAGGCCAGGCCAAGGTCATATGATGGCTGGCACCAAGGGAAGAGATTGAAAGGCCTTCGCTGGAGGAAGTGGACCGTTCAGGTTGTTGTCCCAAGGGGAAGTTCACATCTCCCTGAGGAGGATGAGGATAAAATTGATGAGCTCCTGAAAAGACTGGGGGCCTCTTTGCGCCCTCCTTCAGCGTTTCGAGACCAGAGAAAGTGCTGTTTCTGCCACCAGTTTGGAGACGGGATCACTGATGGCCCTGCAAGGCTTCTTAATCTTGACTTGGATGTGTGGGTGCATCTCAACTGCGCCTTGTGGTCCACTGAGGTTTATGAGACGCAAGCAGGTGCATTGATAAATGTGGAATTGGCTCTCCGTCGTGGGCAAACAGTGCGCTGTGCCTTCTGCCAGCAGATGGGGGCAACCAGCGGCTGCAATCGACTCCGCTGTACAAACATCTACCACTTTACCTGTGCTCTTCATGCCCACTGCACTTTCTTTAAAGACAAAACCATGTTGTGTCACGCCCACAGGCCCAGGGGTGCTGCTGGACTGGCTATGGAACATGAGCTGCGCTGTTTTGCCGTTTTCCGTCGCGTTTATGTTCAAAGAGATGAAATGCGTCAGATAGCTTCCGCGGTACAGCATCCAGAATTGGGCTACACGTTGCGAGTGGGTAGTCTCGTGCTGCATACAATAGGTCAGCTCACCCCTCAACAAATGAGAGCCTTCCACTCCGCAACAGCAATATTTCCAGTCGGTTACGAGGCTTGCCGCATCTATTGGAGTATGCGGCATGGCAATCGCCGCTGTCGCTATGTCTGCTCTGTTGATGACGTGGATGGTCTGCCTGAGTTTAGCATCAGAGTCATTGAACAAGGTTACCAAGACTTCGTCCTCACAGACACTACACCTAAAGGTAATTTGTGTGTTAATCGTCTAACAAACCCCTGCTGTCTATAGTATTCAAATGCATCAAATGGTTTATTGTTGCCTTTCATTTTTTTAGGAGTGTGGGATAAGGTTCTGGGCCCTGTTGCCGAAAAAAGATCTGAAGTCGGGACTCTGAAACTCTTCCCTGTTTACCTCAAAGGGGAGGACCTGTTTGGCCTCACAGTCCCAGCAGTCGCTAAAATAACTGAATCGGTTTGTTGAGTTTCTAGATTTTGTTGTTTGTTTTTAGGGCTATGACCTTTAATTGTGCCTCATATTTTCTTTAGCTGCCTGGAGTTGAGGCATGTGACAATTATGCTATCCGTTATGGAAGAAACCCTCTCATAGAGCTGCCTCTTGTGATCAACCCAGAAGGCACTGCCCGCGCTCTCTCTCGAGTCAGCAGTGATCGTCCGTCTGTGGTGATCAGGTACTGTGTCTACGAAGATGCAACCTGCACTTGGTTCAATCGCTAATGTCTTTACAATCTCTAGACCTCAACCACAGGCCACGAGTAACAGCACAAGATCTAACCAGAATATAGCCCAGGGAGAAGGGGGCACAACCCACAACAAACCTCCAGTGGTGCACCCCAGGTCATCGCAGTATCGCTGGATGAAGAGTGAATGGAAAGCCAATGTTTACCTGGCTCGCTCTCGCATCCAGGTTAGTCGATGTACCCTCACCCTACTGGCATCAGTGTTAAAGATTCACCTACAGTTTCATCCCCTCTGTCATAAGGACCCTTAATTCAAGCTGTTAAAAAGCTGTACTAATTGCAATTCCCACCAATTCTTTGTGTGGCTTTTAATAGTTTCTGATTCTGAAACAGAAGATCCTTTTTTTGTGTGTACGCTTAGGGCCTGGGACTGTTTGCTGCACGAGACATAGAAAAACAAACAATGGTGATTGAGTACACCGGGACTGTTTTAAGGAATGAGGTTGCCAACAGAAAAGAAAAGACCTATCGTTCTAAGGTAATATGTTTATAACATTGTAATCAAGATGTTGCATTTTCACTAACTCTCTAACTGTATGTCTGTATTTGGGTTTTTTCAGAACCGAACGGTATTCATGTTTCGCATTGACAGTGATCATGTTGTTGATGCCACTCTAACTGGAGGACTTGCAAGGTATTGAGAAAAATATACACTGTTTATACTAGGGTTGATAACTCAATGAGGACCATGAAGATATCTTTTTATTACATTGATTCTTGCATTGCTTTCCTCTCTGAATTCATTATTCTAAGTTGTAAAATGTACAAAGGAAATTAGAATTACTAATCAGTGTTAAAATCAGCCAATTTTTTCTAAATATTTTTTGCTGAAGTGTGTTTATGAACGCCTACACGACCCGTTAACCTGTCTGTCTACAAGAGTAAAGTTAACTGAAAGAGAAAAATCATCTATCCAGCAAACTGCCTTCTCTGCACAGACAAGCATGAAGTTGTGTCTGTAGAGTGCAGTAAAACCAACATCCTTTTCTAATTGCTGCTATAAAGCATAGGTCCTCGCAGCTCCCGCAGGTTGAACTGTCCCAGTTATATCAACACTTTAAAAACAATTTAGCGACTCAGCAATATTTTCACACTTCCAAAGTGAACAGTGCCAACTAATTTGAACCGTCCCAATGTTCATGTGAAAACGCCTTTAAGGTCCCTACCATCTTCTGTTCTCGTTTGGTCTAGTGCAAAGGCCCCAACATATGATTTAATAATTTTACTAACATTTTATTTTATTCTCTCCCAGATACATCAACCACTCATGCGCACCCAACTGTGTCGCTGAGGTTGTAACGTTTGAAAGGGGATTCAAAATTATTATTAGCAGTATTTGCAGGATTGGAAAAGGCGAGGAGGTGAGTAGACTAATGGTTTTTTTTGGGGGGTGGGTTTTTTCAGGACATTAAATTTGAATTAAAGGCAAACAATAAATGTTCATTGTTCCTTTTAGCTTTGCTTTGACTACCAGCTGGACTCTGCAGAGGGTCAGCACACTATTGCCTGCCACTGTGGAGCTCCTGAATGCAGGAAATGGATCAACTAAACGGTGACAAAAATCATTCCTTCTCCACTAGTGTGCGGATACAGCATCAATCATACATCTGCTTCACACTAGTTTACTAAACGAGAGGCGGTGTGATTCCACGGAGGGTGATGCCATGAGGACATCTGGGTGGAGTAAGGGAATCGTACACCGTAGCAGGTCGTGACTTGTGCCATATGTGAGAGCGTCTATGTTTGTCTGTCTGATGTTTAAGTCCACGGGGTGAAGAATCCACCAGCGAATGAGAAAGCACTGTGCAGGGTGCAGCCTTATTGTTATTCTAAGGGCAGGCCCTTTGATTCATACTGTTAATGTAAACCGTATGACTAAATGTAGACATCACTGAATGAGGAATGTACAGCAATGAAAACCGCGAAGGGAATTTTAAACTTGCACTAAAGAAAAAAACACACAAAAACTTTGATAATACTTGATTCCATGAGTCAGTTTTTACATGGTTCTGTCACTTGTTTTGTGTGGAATTTGAAAGGTTTTGTATTTATTACTGAGTGAATGGATTTTATTCTCAAAATAATGAGATTGAGTTACAGAAGGCTAGATTGATATTGTTTTTGAAAATAGAAGACATGCTGTTACTTTTGTATAAATGTATATAAAAAAGACTATAGGAATAACTGACCAAATACTACCTTAACCCTCTTGATGTTTGGGTGTTTTCAAATTGTTTTTGTCATTGAAATTTATTTAAGATGGACATTATTTCCGTTTGAGAGTATATATTATGACTATTTTGTACAGAATTTGTAAAATAACCACAACTCACAAAGTATTTTTGTTGTATTAAAAGTAAAGTATTGTAGCGTAGTGTTTTGTGACTTACACACACACCTTGACCACTCAAAAAGAAATATTTTTGTTGACTATTGTAACAAGTTACTGAAATCAAAAAGGAGAAAAACTATTTGCTGTTTTATCAGGTTTATTTTAAACTGTGAATTAGGTTTTAAAACCCTTTTTAACTTTTTAAACTCGAGTCGAATCACAAACTTGTTCTTGTTGACGTTGCTTTTAAATCGAGGTGCAGAAGTCTCACTGTAATATATGTAAGGTGAAGCTGTGTGTGGCAGAGCATAGATTGTTCTACCTTTTCAACAGAAATTGCAATTCTCCGACATCGTAAATATTTCTTTCACTAACACGTCACAAGTCACATGCTTAGAAGAGTTTTTGTGTGCACAATATTGACTGTAAACTTTTGGAGCAGTCTTAGAACCTGTAATGTATATGGCATGTATTTTTTTAACTTTCTGAAAACTCAATTGTATATATTTTCTCAATGAATGGTTGTAACAAAATTGTTTCTTGAATATTTTTCTCCTGTATAGTCTATCATCCTGCCAGTGTTTGTGCAACATTTTCTCGGTTGTGAAAAGTAGTTAATTTCACCTCTCATTTCTTTTTCAAAATGCCTTTTGGAGTGTACATACTATGAGATTTGAAGTTTGTGAAATTTAGAAACATTTACAAAAATAAACTATTTTACATGTTATGAACTGTGTGCGGTAATTCATTAAAAAAGGTTTCATTTTAGTCCTTAAACTGAATTATTATAGTTAACACTTTCCTCATATAACTAATAACTGTAAATGTTCCGGCCAACATTTTCAAATGGATGTTTTTCCTCAGAACTGCTTGTATGGTTTCATAGCATTCTTGTTTTATAGCAAGAAGGTAATCAGTTTGATCCCGTTTCAGCCCGGCCTTTCAGTGTGAAGTCTGTCCGAGTGTCTGGGGTGGGGGTTCCTCTGGGTGCTCCAGTTTCCCCATCCACCCAATAACGGGCGGTGCGGGCAATTTACGTAAAATCCTGCATCTCCTGTAGTGACCAAGCACAGTATCAACAGCTAGAGATGCCCAGCCTAGTACCATTAGAGGGTGGAGAGAACACTTTCCCCACGACGACAATA